CATTATTTTTATCATGAAGGCCACTACCTGTCTTTTTTAGGCCTTTTAGGGTCAAATTGCAATAGAAGAGACATCAATATAGCTAAAGTTTAAGGAAAACAAGAAACATTACTGTCTTCATTTAAAAAGCTTGGTCATGCACCATAAAATTATAATTTGTAAATAATTGGTATGGAAATTTGAAGAAAATATTTTGAAGTATGAGTGAGGGCAATTCTTGTCAAATTGTGAAATATCTCATTGGGAGATGGAAGCTTGGTAGAAATTATTTGGATGTCCAAAGGTTAATCATCACAGGTAGGGTAGAGATACTTATGTATATGCATGTACTATTGTAAGCAGTGAATGTCAGTGTATGTATGTAATTGTTTTTAGGACAATCTCAAGAAAATTCTTTCTGCAAAATTGTTCTTTAAGTTGTTTGTCATAAGTCTGTATGTTTTGATAATGATGTTTTATACTTATTCTGGTCAAGAAAGTGATATGATATATGATATTGGTTCTTTCCAATTTAACAGAAGCTGAATATCTTGTACAGAATTTAAAACAAAAATAGCCTGTTATGTATGAAAGTCATGCATTTAGAATTTGTGCTTGTGTTTGCCTTAGATTTCCAAAGTCTTCATCCTTACTATGGGTTCTTTTGATCATACTCTAAGCAAGAATAAAAAATATTAATGTTTAAGATATCCTCTTCAAACATGCATTAGCACTTAAATGTGTATAAATGATTCTACAATTATATGATGTCATATCAAATGCATATGATCTGATAAAGCAGCAATTTAAATGAAGCCATAGTGGCATGAAAATCTAATGTGGCCATCTTCTCTTTTGCCACCATTCCATCAGATTTCCTTTTAAACATTTTTATGGCATATTTTACTGGAAAGCAGTAAAAATTCAAAGGCATGCTTCATTAGTTTCTTCAAATAAAAAAATTGAAAAGCCCCACATACATTCTGATCTGATGTCCTTCATGGTGACTTCATCATTAATGCTGTACAAAAAGTGTGGAGTTTTAAATAGGCTATATATGTTTTGATTCCTTCCGTTGGTAAACCATGTGTTTTATTGCAACTAAATTTATTTTTTTTTTATTGAACATCAACAGTTTTGAAATGGTTATTGAAAGAAATTAATATGAAGATTTTAAAAATTGTGTAATTCCTGATTGCTGACAGTTATCCAATGAGTAGAGTCAGGGGAACAACAGAATTGATGGGGACATGTACAGAAATTTAAATAATTGATTCAGAGTTTTATGTTCAGGTAAAAGTCTTTATGTGCTTTGTTATTGCTTAGCAGTGGTTTAAATTAATACTATCATCGATGTACTATTATTGTCCATGTTGTTATACTGTTGCAGGATGGATAATGGTTTTGATAATGTAGCATGCATTGCAAGTTCTGTAGCATTTTGTTGTAGAAGTTTCTACATCTATACAGTGCAAACCATGTTTAATCCTAGTTACACAGTGTACATGTATTTTGGATTTTTAAAAATTTTTCCTTCATCTTTTTGGGAAGGGGGCAAAAAGATGGTTAGATAATTATGTTTCTTTAACAAATTCATTGATTTTATAAGATATCATCTAAATGGTTATGCAGATTTCTACAACTACTTTATGCATGCATATTTCATGATATCTATAAACTCAAAAAGATTTGTATCCATGATTATTTTAAGGTCAGTGTTTGATATCCAGAAGTACTGATTTTGCTGCAGTGTTTGTGTTTATCCCCCCCCCTTTCTTTTTATTGTAGGTGGATGTTTTGAGTTGCAATTTTATATTTATAGTGATAAACCATGGAGTAAATATTTTATCTTGCATGAAGACATTATGTGTTATCAAACTATGTATGAACCATTTCCTATTTCCTTCTTTTAATAAATTTCATGGTGTGCATGAGATAAAACTTGCATCTTTCTCTAAAAAAGAATCAGATATAGAAGGCTGAGTAATCCACAGCCACAGTTTAATGTGATTTGAAATTTCATACTGATATTTGAATGATCAATAAGTAACAAATTTAGTACAGGTATGCATTTTTGTAGGGCATCAAAACATTAAATCATAGTGTTTTCATCTATTATCATTATGAAAGTGTAGCACCTAATATTCTTTGCACAGTCATAGCAAAAAATGCATAACAGCTAAAAATAGAGATTCTGACCCCCAACACTGAGACCCAGGGGAGGATATTATTACATATTTGGAATAGACAATAATTTTATTAGTTAGTAAAATTAAAAAGATCTGCCTTTATTCTATCTAATTTTATAAATCCTCAGATATGCGACAGGCATAAGAGTTTCATGAAAGCATGTTTCCGGATTTCCATATCCTTCAAACTCTTGCCCACAAAAGGTTCTGCTTAATAAGCAGATTAACAATCTAGGTGTCATAAAAAAGAAAAAAACTCAGTAGAATGTGACAAAGGAAAAGGAAGGAGGAAAGGAGAGAATTTTTTCACCTTAAAAAGAAAAAAAAGGAAAGAAAGAAAAAGTCTTTCATGCATACTTCTAGTTTGGATGACCCTTGTGCCATAACCTTAGACACTATAGGATCGATCCCGATGATCATTTCATAGCACATTAAACATATGCTTTCTTAATGCAGAGTATTAATATACTAGTTTAAATTATTTTAAAGATTTTTTCTACCCCCCTCCCCCTACCTTTCAGGTGATCATTCTTAGACTATCGAAAAAATATAATGGAGCTCAGTTTTGCAATATTTTTTGTTGTGTAAAATATGAAGTAAAGCAGATGTTCTATCTGTCTCTCAGTACTTGTTAGGCTAGTACATGTTTTATCTAAACACACACAGTCTTTGGACAATAGAGGCCAAGTGGGCACTACTAGTATATAGAATATTTCCTGGTCAATTTGGCATATCCACTGATAATGAAATTAATCAAACCTGTTGATTTCTTCTTCATTGCTCTTATATTTACTTTGATTTTGAAAGTTTTAAATCCTTTAATTCTTCAATCCAGTTTTATCTATGAATTAGCAGAATTAGTTATTGGGGGACTCACTGAAAAGGAAATTTATATTTATTCTCTTGACATGAGCTAACAAACAGGAGATAAGCTGTTGATGACATAAGAAGCAGACACGAGTTCCCCGATTGTGACATCACTGTATCTAGTTGATTTTATCGTTTTTCGACAAACCTCATCATTTACATGTAATGCAAAACTTGCAGGACTCTTTTATCAGTACAAAAAGATCAATGGAAGAGATAAGTGTATTTCTTTACTTGTTGGGATTATCTGATGATGAAAAATATCGGTCTATGGGGTTGGCATATCATGGATTTACCATATCAATTTATCAAATATTTATTTTCATATTTGAAAATTTATTATTCAAGACAAACTAACAGTAGATCAAATGAAATGTTTAATGTTATGTGGCGTGTCTTATCGTCAACATTTACACACCCTCCATAAGCTGTGAAATGGTCCGCTTTTATCATATAACTGTATGTGTCCTCAGATAAGGACTTAAAACACAGATAAGTTATCTCCCCTTTTCCCAGTGGTTATCTACCCTTGGTTGAAGAAGTGTCCTTGTGATCTACATGGCTGTCAGGGATGGGGTTTGATATCAGTTGTTTGTGGGGATAATAATTCCGTAACTGTTTGGTCTTGTTCCTAAAAGAAGAATCTTGACTTCATTATTACTCATACATTAAATTAAGTTTCATCTTTAAAACCAAAGGATAAACTCAAAAACAAAGAGTTTCAGAGCAAGGAGAACATGATGTAAATTGCATAACAGATTATAGTTATAAAATTGCATAACAAATTATAATTTAGTAGATGACTAAATAAAAATACATCTTGATCTTTTTTGTACCGATTTTACACATTAGTTTCTAGACATTCAGAACAAATTGCATTAGAAAAATGTCTTTGAAAATGGTAAGATTTAGTGTGATATATAACATTTTCTTGATTGAAATAGAAGACAGCTTTTGCTCTGTGTGAGTTGAACTGGTTTTCAGTGAAATTCTGAACTTTGTAATTGGTTTGTGACAAATATGTTCCTATCCCTGCAGGATTCAAGTTTTATCAATTAGACTATCAAGTTATTTCTAATCAGTTGTTCTTATCTTTTTCTTGTGTGGTTGTAAAATTCAGTTACCAAAAATATTTGTGTGAGACTGTGATCCAAGATGAAACATCTTTTATCAATTGATCATTTTAATCTTACTTGATGAAATGATTCTTTCACAGCCAAAATGTTTAATACTGAACAATGTTTAACCATCTTCCTTGTATCTTAAAGCATAAATTTAGTATTCCCTTTGGACTTATTAAAGTCTAATTTGGATTTTTTTTTAATGCATGTATGACTAAAAAGGTATTCTTTTATTCATATTCAATTAATTTTTAGTTACTTTTCAACAAAGATATATAGGAGATCTGCCAAGTAATATCCTCTATATAAGTCCCCTAAAGGTAAAATATAAGGGGGGACGGGGGCTATAGGTTTCTTCTCTATCTGTCTGTCAGTCAGTCTGTATATCTTCGTATTTCTGACTTTTTCTAAAGTGCTTCCATATATTGAGCTGATTTTGGGTATGTGTGTCCATTTTGATGCGTAACAGATCAGTTTCATTTTGTAAAGCTTTGGGAGACCCAGTATTACTTTATGCAATATAAGTTGAATACAGTTTAGTTTCTCCTACTTTTTGATAAGGAAGTAACTGGACATTTAGAATCCATTTCAAGAACATTATCTCATGTCAGGTGCTTCTTTTTCCAACAGAATCTGATCTTTTTTGAGGACTTTTGATGTAAAACCACATAATCTTGTGTTATTTTTCATCAGAGAGTTTTGGTTAAAATGGATTTTTTTTCTTAAAACTTGAATCTTTTTGGAAATCTTGATAAGATAACAGGAATTTCTGGTACAAATGATGAGATGTTGATCTGCTCGGCAGGACGTCCCAGCTTGCAAAATGAGATTCAGGTGATAGTATCAATGGTAATGTTACTGCAATTCCACTTAAGAAGTTTATAAACACTGTTATCAGCCTTGATGATGAATATTAGCTCACAAAAATGAGAAAACTCCCAGCAAAAAGGTTCTGCTGGTCCAGTTAGGATTTAGTGGAGCTGAAAACTGTAAGTATGATTAACAGAAATTTCATTTTTCGAAGATTTGTTTTTAAGACATTATTTTGTGTATTTATTCAGTGCTCAGTTAGCATTGATGGAAAAGATGAAGCACTGGTAGTGAGAGATTTATTTTAGGCACATTCTGAAGATTGTTGAAAGCTTAGAGTTTATAATTGGCCAAGATTTACTGGTCTATATTTCGACCAATTCCAATGTAGGTGTTTTCTCTGGTGAATGATTTATTGCAGCTCATTTCATACTTCATAAAGAAACTTAATATATAAACACAATTTTAACTTTAAATTGCTGTTAATGTAAATATTATATCTTTTTATCTATATTTTTTCTGATATCCTGGTAAAGACAGCAATTTAGAAACAGTCCGCAGTTCATAATAGAGAAACGGGTCAGGTAGTTTTATATCCTAGCTTTGCCAAAACATCCCCTTTATAAAGTGAAGACGTAAAAGTAGGACCTAATGGTCTCGATTAATCTTCTTGTATTATAAGTGATTATGCAAGGATACGCATTGAGGTGATAACTTTTATTAGTGAGGATTTTAAGTGGCCAATTTTGATTAATGATGATCACTAATGATATCCTGTGATGTATTCAGAAGTTAAACTTAGGAAAATTGAGATCCCTACAACTGCATTGAACATTTTAATTGGTGTCAGAAATTTAACGTAGAGTGTCAGAACGACTGGAATTATCCAAGGAGATTTTGAGAAGGTGAGCAGTTCAAACATATGCGTGATTGAGACAGGGTATGCAAACTTAGAAGACGAAGAATAAAAGCAATAATTGACTTGGTGAATCCTCAAACTTATAAAGCAGATAATTATAAGTTAAATGATTTTTTTGTGTATGAATTATCATCTAGTCCCTTGCCTTGGTTTATTAGGGGTAGACATCATAACATCTGAAGAATAGATCTCCTAGCTGCTTTTATCTTGTGGATAGAATAGCTTCACTGATCAGGAAATGGTTTACAACTTAATTGATTATAATTTAGATATCATTTTCCAGTTCTATACTCATCCAAACAGAAGGTATATATAGATACTGTCCATTCTGATTTTATTATGGATCTGGCTTATAAAAGTTTGTTGACTTCATGATCTTTCAAGGATTTTATATGTTAATACATGAATGTGTTCTCAAAGAACTGCAATGATGATATTTTTTTCTGATTCTCAGCAATGCTAAAGGATTTTCACTATATCCAGGTATTGTTTTGATAGTTTTAGACAAATTTACAATGGTAAATACTTCATTGTAAAGCTACAATATTTTCGCATATGGGTTGTTTCAAATGCTTGCTCTCATATCTTTTTGTTTGTCTAATTCATTGAATTTCACTGTCTAACACTAAAATTCTTTAAAGACAAGGTGCTTTAATAATCCTGTTAAAGTCTTAGAAAAATATTACACTGATTTTACCACTTTTACAAGAGATTATTCACAGTGGTATTGCTAGTCACATGCTAATCTCTAGGCTTAAGAGGAGACTTTTTAATTTCTTTATTGTCCCCAGTGTAAGTTGTTTATTTTTAAATCACAATAGCCCAATAAATTATAACACCCAATAAATTCCACATTTATTGTCCCCTCAGGATTTTGATTGTGGAAACTTGTCTGATGTCATAAAAGTATTAAGAGAACCTTTAATGAGATAGCCAGGTAAAATCTATGAAGGCTTTCATCTGTTTCTTCACATAGGTGTTCTGATTGCTCATTGTTCCTAAAAAGAGAACTCAGCATCCTGCAGAGTAAAGGGTAGGGTCTGGGATGACACTAACTCTGTGTGGTTAATGACAGACTTTGAGTTTAAGTACAAGTTTGGTTCTCTGCAGTTTGGGTCAAAGTGTTAGGTGTTTTGATGCAAGGTGTGGAAAAAGCAACAGGACACTGGATTAGGTGAGAAGAGTGAATTCTCCCCGTGTTTTTCTGACTGTCCTAATCCTTGTCATTGGAATCAGTGGGTAGTGGTCATTTAAAGAACTTTTCATCACTGTAAAAAGTGTGGATTTTTTTTATTTAAGATCTTTGGTAAGATTTTTTTTAATTTGTTCTTCTTTAGATTGCTAAGTAAACAAAGTTAAATTTTGTTTTGTGCTTTATATCATTTGCAGTTTTTATTTTACATATCTTATTCAATTATTGATGCATTCTGGATAAAACTATTAAAATGTAAATGCTAGTATTAGATCTGAGTTGTAAATACTGTTAACAAATGTGAAGCTAACTGTTGAAAGCTGTAATGAACCTGTTGTACTATCTGTAATTGAATGTAATATTTTGTAACAATTTGGAATTGGGGCATAAAAGTGAAAGGGCTTTAAACTCTTTTTGATGGCTAAATTTCTTGATAATCTAACGTATGCCATAAAAAAGTTGTTTTTTTTTCCAAGCAACACTGCATGAGTAGAAAAGGGAAGATTTCAGATTAGAGTTGGATTTCAGATAAAATTCAGAAGCTTATGTGCAGGTTTTTCTAACTGAATATGTATTTTCTTACAGGCGCAGTGAGGAGTTTTATCTCTTAGCACATATTTCTATGTCTTGAAAATAAATCTTTATCACAAATTTAACATTCTTGCAGTCTTGAAAGTGGGAGTCATATGGGAAGATTGAGAAAAATAAGTGTCCATTTCTTGTTTTTCAGTGATTTGCCACTGCCCTTTTTTTCCTTATTTTTTAACTTTTTATTCTCTTATCTCATAAAAAAAAGTATTTTCCAAAACACTTGTTTCAAATCTTATCTGTTTTCAACCCACATGCACATCTTGTCTTCACATAATTTTACTGCTATGGACATTAATAAAGGATATGTTTTTTCAAGTTCGTGGAAATCTTTTATAACCTAGGACCTAGATATGATGTATTAAATATGATTCATAATCAAACAAGAACAGCAGTAGATTAGCCACAAAAAGGTACTGTTGTTGTCTTTGAAGTGTTAAAAAACTAATCTAGGTAGTAATTTCTGTTACTTGAGGCCAGTTTTTGACACCCTAGCAATGGATACATGAGTGATCTGCCAATACTTGTTGGGGAGTTCCGTTACCTGCTATCAACATTTTTGTTTCTTCTGCCTAAATCATCAGAAAGGCCGTTCAATGTTGGTGTTTTTGTGTCATTTTATGATATGTATGTGTCAGCCTTTGATCCCAGTGTAATGTAGGGCAGGTGTAAATATGAACACAAACAAACAAGTCCATGATAAAGTTTGCATACAAACACATTGTAGTAGTTAAGGTAGCTGATATCTTCTACAGAGAAAAATTCTAACTTCTTTGTCACCTGTTTCCATGCAAACAAAAAATAGCATACAATATCAAAGGGAGCACAGAGTTTAAATCCAGGAGATTTACTATTTAATAGTACAAGACACTCTAGACATTATCTTTCGTGTAAATTTTACTTTTACTTTGTTGTAATGAAGTGAAACCTTATTTTCAGGTGTGAACTGGAGACCAAGATTCATGTTTCAGACATTATGTATGTTAATTCATGTAAATGACTGTCATTTGCTTTTTTTTCCGCAGCGAGTCGACTCCGTGCACCCTTAGCTGTCAATCAGGCTCCGTCTGCCCAATCATCGATCTGCCTGGCTCACAGGTAAACCCCAGGTAAGCACAAACACTTATTGCACAGGCAGCTGGTCAGCTCCTATAGTACCAAGGCTGGATAATGCCCCCCTAATCTCCAGAAACTTTTATCTGAGGGATTTTTATTAGCCACCACATTTAGTCTTGTAATTGACAGTTTGTCTATGTTGAGCTTGTGATCTATACGCACTGTGTAAAAGTGGAATATTCTCTTCATTTTCATTTAGGGAATTTAATGATAAGTGCTGAATGGATTTGATTGTGGGGATGTTTAATATATAAACTTATCTTAAACATGAATTTAATGGATGTACAATTTAGTGGAAGGACATTTTACAAGTTTCGTGATTAGGTGAGAGAGTATTTATAGATAATAATAATAGTAGCTCATGGTGTATCGTATCTATATGTGACAATAATTGTGTCATCACAGTACATTAATTTTGTTGTATATGGATAAAATAAACTGGACAGTTTCTCATTTTCTATCTTTATATATACACATAATAACATTATCTTAATTTTTTTCATGAACAAGAAAATGACATATTTAAGAAGTTAAATATTTTTTTTTATGTTTTACAAACGTGCTTAATATGATTTTTGATTGTCTCTAACTTGTCATGCGAAAAAATAATAATGATAATTAATAACTGTCAGCTAAACTTTATTTAGCCATCAGCGAAACATTGAAAATTTATATGCTTTATATTTTGTAAAGACAGTGAAGATTGACATATGACCCTAAACAAAAACTCTCCCAGTATCCTTGTCATCCATGCCAACAATTAGCTGATTTTTTGTGAGGAAAAAATGCACGAACAAGTGCTTTAATAAATTTTCTGTCAGCTGAATATTTTGAACAAGTTGACATGCATGTAGATGGTGTCTTTCTGAGAAAAGGCTGGACACTTGAATGAATGTAAAAACAAAGCCATGGCAGCTTAGTTTTTCTCAAAGTTTTGATAGGAACTTCAGTCATCAGGTTTTGGGCTAAGACACTGATGGACATGCACATGGCTTGTTCATTGGAGATATAGCACAGTTATATTTCTGTTGCAAAATTGCAGTAAATTCTGTATGTTCAAATTCACCTGCACCTGTGCTTGTCTGATGCTTGGGAAAAAAGCTGTAAACAATCTTTCAATATTATCGGTAGTAGTTTAAAAACTATATACAAATGGTTTATTAATATTATAATTTGAGTGTCCATGGTGACAATATTTATGGATGCTATCATAAATGATAACAAAATGAATCGTTGGTAAAGCAGACATGTGTCATAATTATTAATTTTTCTTCTTTATTTGTAGAGTTATGAGCATTTTAGTTTCAACAGACTGAGCAAGACAGCATACAAAAAGGTAACCTCAATTAATTAGAAGTACATGTAAATAGCAATTATGTTGAGATGTGAACAAATACTAGTCATTTCAGTCTCTAAAGTCCATGTTTTGAAATTAAGATAGTCATACAGTACGATCAGATTGTACTGTATGACTATGTTGATTTCTAAACTTTACGGTAGTAGATAATGTGACAGATATGATATCATCTGTAGATAAATGTTTTAAATGTAAATATAGGAGTCTATGTCATTTTCCTGGGCCAGATAACTTAGAATTTGGGTCTAACAAATTTTCCAGTTAAAAATATTGTATTGGGATCATGGATTTATGGACCAACTAAAGTAAGAGTATTTGGTTTGTTAAATTAAATTTGAAAATTTATATCTGACAAAATCTGTAAAAGATGTCCTTGGCTCATAATAGTCTATATAGTGAGAAAAATGTCAGTTTACAAATCAACAATGAATGTCTGTAGTATTTATTGAATGAAGAAATTTGAACAAAGCATTCGGTTGTATGCCGCAACAATTTACCCTAAAATGGCAGTTTTAAGTCGTCTTTGTTTACTGTTTTTCTGTACTTTAATTATCAAAGAGGTACACGCAATCAACACAAACGTGGACATTCTGATAAAGTAATTAAGCGTGAAACAATTGAAGGTTTTTATCCCACACACTTATAAGAAAATCTGGTGTTGCCTTGTGTTCAATATTTTATGGAAATTACTGCATGCAACCACATAATTTTTGACAAGCAGTGACTTAATACTTAGTCAGACTTCTTTTGAGGATAGTCGGGTAATATAAGGGTACAATAAATCTCACTATACACTCAATTTATTTCGTGCTGCACTAAGAAAAAATTGGATTTCTTGTTTGTACCCATGTAGCAAGTATTAAGTTTTGAATATCAGACTTCCTCAATGATATTAAAAATTTTACATTTTTGATTTATAATATAACCACTTGATGAAATTGAGATTGAATTTTAGATGATTTATAGGAAGCTCATTTTCTGTATTTTTTTTCTTGAAAGTTTTTCACTTTAATTTAGGATAAAGGGTGTCTATTTATCTGTAGAAATTAAATCTTTTGACAATGAAAAGCTATATACAAGGTACATGTATAAAGTAAGACGTAAAATTCCCTCACTAACACGTGTGAAGAAATGAGAAAGGAGGGGATTTGACCAATTGTGTCTAAACATATATAGAAAGGACTCATACAGCTGCTACCAACACAAATGTAATCAATGCCAGGAAAATATTAACTGGAAATCGGATAAAAATAGTCTTACAAGAAGTGTCACACCCTAAAATAGGAATTATGTGTGATATATTCATGGCAAATTTAATCCCAAGAATTTTACACCTTATCAACAAATTTGAGTTGAAATTATATTTTAAAGTTGCATTCTTTGACACCAAATACAACATGAGAAATAAGATATTTTTGTATTATTGTTGTCTATTTGAAATTGAGGACATAGAAGTAAACCAAGGAATAATATGGACTTTCATGTTTTTATGCATGGAAATACATTTTTATTAATTACCAGTAAAAGAAAAAGATGTTAATCACCCTAACATGCCTTTCTCTATACATTTTGTAGAATTACTTACAACATAAATAATACTAAATATGTCCATACTTTATATGACAGGACTGAAATTAAGAATAATGTTAATTGATTTGAAATGTTTCTTGCAATTTCTACCTAGGGCTTTGGCTCAAGGGTTTTAAAAAAATTTGATTTTCATTATTACCGATACATTATTTCAATGAACAGTGGAACAGTTAATTGATTCAAAACAAATGCACATTTATAAGCATGTAAAGGTCAGTAAAGAAAACAAATGCAAATTGCATGTATCTGATTTGAAATTAAAATCTGGTATATGTAGCCTCAGTGGATTTCAGCTTTAAATTTGCTACTTGTTTAACACAATGGAAATGACATTTACAGTATCATAAATTATGAAAAAATATTTTTCTTGTTGTCTGCAGTGGTTCTTTCAACTACAAAAAGTAAATTTGCAGGTTAATGAATTTTCATAAATTAGTATAGAAACATGGAAGTGAAAATGAATCAAAAACTGAATACTTAGGTATAAAATGTTTATTGAGAAATTTGAACCAACTTAATTATTGGGGTTTTTTAAAGTTCTTTTTTTTTTAAATGTTGTATAAATTCAACATGAATAGAGAAAAAGATGTAGCCCTTAAGTAATGGAAGATCTCTAGATTTTAAATTGGATATCTTGTATTCTAGCAATTGAAAAAAAGATGTTATCATTTATATAATAATCTAAATTTTTTCAACAGAATTTTTTTTTCACTGGGCCAAACACTACACTTCTTTCATCTTGGCACATAGAGTGGGATAAGTTTCATTCAGGACAATAGTGTTTTTGTCTGTCTCTGCAGGACTGTTTTGTAAAGAAACAGAGTCTTCAGTCATTTAATCTGATAAATCCATGGTACACCCATATCCCATACATCATTTAATACATTTTACCATTAAAACTCCCCAGGATTTCTTTTTTAAAATGTTAGAAAAAAGCTCACGAAAGTGAAAATACACAAAAGTTTAAAATATTCTACTCAGTGGGTTGGGAGTATTTTTCTCTATGACCATGTTCAAAATTCAAAGGTTAAACCAACACTTTTGTGGGGGACAGAGAATTCCCTCTTGATGACCCTTTTTAGGTGTTCAATAAAACCATTATCACTTGTTAGTGTGTTTGCTTAAATATGTGACAGACCATTTTCGTTCATTGTATCAGACCCTTAAGAAATCACAAGATAAAGTAGTTGATATCAGGAAATATCCCTATCATCCTTTTCTTCTTTTCAATCGTTTTATTTAAGCAATTTACCTTCTTATCAAACAGTAATGAGATTTGCTGTGCAGGACTGATGTTGAAATTGAACACATAAATCCTGGAAAGAAAACGGACCAATTGTAAATGTACATGCTTCTGTTGACAAGATGAGCCTATTGCCAGCCTTTGTGGCAGCATATCCCATACTTCTTAAAATTATAAATTACTGCAATATTGAATCATATAATTATGTCCAACTGTTGTTGTGAAGGCTTGATAAATTAATGCACTGAGTAAATATCAGGATCTCTCTGGAGAATTGATTTACTCCACTTTCAATGAATTTGGAAACCAGAATTTAATGAAGTGATCTGACAAGAAAGTTTTTCAGGGTTTGGATCTTGAGGGTGTTTTTAGTATCAAAATTGATAAACTCAAGGGAGTGTTGTAGTGTGAGCTTTAGGGGTGTCCTGTTGCTCAAGACAGATATATAGGAGCCACACAGTTCAAATACACTTAGATTTTACAATCTGCAAAAATAATTTTGATACTATTGATGAATGTCTACAGCTGTTCTTAAATATCTTGATCAGTTCTAGAGATAGGTTGTTAGGGCCCAGCCTTCTCTGTTATGGAGTTGCAACACCAGAAAGCAAGCCTGAGATTTTTTTGAGTTTTTATACAAAAACAATCTTGACATCAACAGTACAGAAAGGAGAATGCCTGGATTCTGAAGTTATAGTGTCTTACTAAATCAAGGTAATTGTAAAGGATTGACTAACTTCATTTTGTGGGGTGGGGGGATATATCAAACTAAATGATAATTTTATCAAGTTATTTATACCTTTAATGAAGAAGAAATGTTGTTCTATCATTAATTTTGGTTTCTCAGGGAGAGGTCAATTTGTTAATAGTCCATAGGGAATATGGTCAATATGCAGACAATTTTATTTTTATGCAGCAGGACATATTAACATTTTGACCAGACAGATGACCGACAATGAGATAATTGTGTGCTAAGTGATACTAATTGCTGATGACTATATTGGTACATGGCATTTACCATAGGGAGTATCAATGATAAGGGGACATTACTGTGGGAGTCTGAGCTCTCATATAGCAGATCCTTATGGTTTCCTTTGGACTCTACTTCAAAAAGAGCTGAAGAACAGAGGGGCTATAAGATTTCAGAGGATGCATCCAAAGTATATGATGTGTAGCAAATTTATATCTTTTATCAACTTCACAGGATATTCTGTCACAAATAATTACTTTAGAAAGAATTGTTGCAGTTTTAACTAGAAGCTAACAGTTTTGTTATATGGATTTCTATACATGGTATAACATAACTGAAACATGTTGATTCCGTGTCATAATGTCCTTTTAATATCAGCCTGTTGTTAGATTAAATATTGTGTCATCAGCAGGAGAATAAGTTACCATGGTAATGAGAGGATGTCTACTGATTCTGCCTAGAACTCTCAAGGTGCACAGATATAGTGTCCCCTTAATATCCATACGTAGATCAGGAACAGGTGATAGGGCTTGTTACAGTGTCCTCAGCAGTTAAAATATGTCTGAAATTAATTCTAAATCCTCTTCAATGTACTTTAAGGGAAAAAAAGGGTTACGTCAGATCATTCAGGTGCAAAGTTTAATGAAACCATTCCAGAAATATAAGTATTTCTGCAACAATGTCTCTAAGAACTGCTAGTCTATAAGACTTCACATATATTTGTCTAGCTATTTGATACTAAGATTACATGTGGTTATGTTCAGATAGATTCTGTTAATTGGTATTTCTATAAATTGTTCCTAAATCTGATGAGTGTCTCGAGTCCTTTTGTACTTGATTTTATTAGTGTGAAGCCAAGAGACAGCAGAGGATTAGTGAAGTCAGGATTATAGTGAGGGGTACCCAATCTGTTCTAGCAGTGGAGGGGAAAATGAAAATGTGTGGTAATAAAGTGATGATTACCCCTGCTGACTGTGTCCTTATTGTGGTGTATTACTACATAACATCAATACTTCCCCGGGCATGCTTGACAGGCATAGGCAACTAACTCCAGTTACCCTCAAATTATGTCACACCTTGTGTGTTCTTCAATACCCTCTTATGCAATCAAGCTATCAAATTCGGAACATACAGGTGCATCAGCTGATATTTTTTTTATTTTTTGTAAAGAAAGTCGTGGGATCTTTACCACGTAAAATATATCTCATCTAAAGATGAGCATATTCAGATGTGTTAGGGTTGCTTATGTAATGACATAAATTACCTGGATAATGTCTTGATGATGGTAACTCTTGTGTGTCAAGATGCAGAAATGCTGATGATTAAATCATATTTGTAATGTTAGTTCACCTTGTAGTAGTAGTCATGCATATTACTTAATTCAAATATTGCTCAGGTACCAATTAGCTCACCATAGATGATATACCCACATTCTTGAAGTACTTAAGAATGTTAGTTGTTAAGTGAAAAAAATGTCAGAAATTTGGGAGGCTTGATAAGACTTCAGCACAGACCAGCACTTAATTAGATGACCAGGAGAAGTTTATGGACAATCCAGATATCTTTGAAGGCAATTGAATAAATATTTTCCTGGCTGAAATCTAGAAAACACTGTGGATTTGATCAATAATATCTGTTGAGTGCATTTTATGTGCGAGCTGTCTGTTAAAATGTAAGAGTTGAGGGAGTGGCCAAGTTTGCAGGTAGAGACACTGGATTTTGTTAAATGATGTTGCGAGAAGATCTGCTTCTATTTCATTGCATCATCACAAGGAAATTAATATTGATCCCATGAACAAAGCATTTATTTTATTGCTTATCAGTATGATCTTAATTTGTGGAAAAATTGTAAATTTTGCTGGTTCGGGGTAAAATGTATATGCTTCATATTTCAAACCTGTTGTTTTCTGCAGTTTTCCTCTTGTTGCAATAATGTGGATCATTGTTTTGTAATGAATTGATATATATACAAGCAAGTCTCCTACATTTTCTTTGTTAATAAATCTTGTAAATTACCAGATAAATGTGCTAATAAGATATACTTTGATTGTCACAGCATTCAAAACATTTTTCCAGTAGCATCCGCAATGTATGGACAGTTATGACTTTTGGGTGAATGGTTCTATTTACTGGAACATCTCCGATATTGAAAACAGATATAGAATTATTGCACATGGAAGAAGTTTCCCCTATTGACCCCCAGTCAGATTCTGCATTGGACATGCAATAAACATTTGTACAGAAGGGATGATGTGTAATGATTGACAACTATGATGAATGTCCGTCATTTACAGCTCATTGGACAGACACATTTTTATTTGTGATCAGGACTGCAGGATATATTGACTGTTACACACAGTTAGGGTTTTTTTTGGAAAGGACAATGTAGATTGTCATAGATTTTTGGATTATTACATGACAATCACATCAGGTATTAAGTTTTCTTTTTGTACTTTTGATATGCTTCCTTTGTTGACTAATATATATATTTAATAGGGTTTTTCATATTTCTTTGATTTTTAAATGGATTTTATTATTTAGGTATTAAAAATTGTTTTTAAAAGACGACCTTTAAGCATTATTGGAAATATGGCTATTTCAGTAACATACACGAATTTTTGATTGGAGATATTTTTTTGTCATTTTTGTCATTGTCATTTGTTTGTCATTTACTGATATTGATGGCTGACTCAAGTATCACTTTTGTTACCTTTTAAAAAAATTAACAACAATTATTTTTTTGGTTTTACCTGTCTGTGTTTCTTCTTATGTTGATGGCAATCTGGGAGAGTTTAGCCATAAATTTGGTGTAATATTTCATTTCCTTGTTAATAAATCAAAATAAACCTGCCACCCTCAGAGTGTAATTGAAAAAAATACAAATAAACATTAAAAGTTTAAGAGAAAATAAGAATATTAAATAATTTTATGTAATAAGTGATTCCAACAAGGTACGTGACTTTACAAGAGGGGAAGTCATGTTGTCCTTGTAAGTGTTTAGAACAAGAGTCCAGTCATGTCTTTGTCACAAAAGAACATACAATTGGACAGCTGTAATGATGTACAGGTGGCATAAAAGAGCTGACCACTTCAAAGGTCCCTGCAGTGATTCTCTCTCTCTCTCATCATTTTGCTACAACCATTACTATATTCCAATGGATGTTGATTTAAACAGGGTGATGGGGGGGGGGGGGGGGAGGTTGATCTCAAATGTACCAATAGCTGTTCTTCTTGGACCATGAAACAGAGAGTAAATCATTTTATCAATTATTCAAAATATTATATTTTGAAGTTCTTTGTTCATTTGACTCAATGGAGATTTTTATGTATGGCCAGTCTAAAGCTCATCTGTGTGTGAGCTGTTCACACTTTCTGGATATAAAGGGATTCCCACCTCTTTATCATTATCCTCCCTGGGAACACCAGCAAGCCAAAAACACATAAAAATTTTCCTATTTGTCTGGGGATTGAGTTCCCCTCTAATCTTTATGTGGGCCTTATGAAGTGCAGTAAAAGTACCATAAACTGCAGTCCATGCTGTGATGACTGACTTTACAGCTCAGGGTTTAATGATGTCATGACTTCTGAGAGCTCTTCGATAAAAGGAGTTAAGGTTGTTGTACAGTTTAAGGTTTGCAAACTAAATTGAAATGTAAATTGAATTGTGGTTGTTCTTTTCATAGTGGTTTTATGGACATATTCTTTTTTACCTGGCTTTTAGATCATTATAAATGAATTTTAACCAAATTTGTAAATGTAAGCCATAAAAAGGATAGATTGTGAGTTTTCTCTGTGGGGTTTTGTTGGAATGAAATAACAATATAATAAGAAAACAGGTGGACATATCAACTGTAAACAAGCAGGTGAACAATTATTTTTCACAAAATGTTTAATGAATTAAGATTAGCATCACATCTCTTTGTTTCAATCTGTCTGCAAATTCATCATGGTGATGCAAAATAGCAACTAAAATAGACTGATAATTTAAGGTCTTTCTTTAATTCAACTTAAGTTGAGAGTGAGACTAAATAGCTATTGTCAGAATGACAAGCAGAAAGAACAATTTGTCAACAGATATCTCTTGTCAAATGTTCATCAATTAAATTTGCAAGATCACTGATAGACAAGGGTCATAAAACACTTAAGCTGGTCACCATCCATACATTGACCTAGAGCAGCCCCAGGTAAACCAATGAAACATGCCCCAAATATCAAAAAGAATTAAAGAAGAGATTAGATAGGTGGTCGCCAGACAGGGAAGCTTTAATTAAATATCGATTACTGATTTAGAATACAGTAAAAACAGGAGACCTTCAAGTGATGCTTCACCAGCAAAACTGAAAAGATAAAGACAGTGGAACTAAGACGAGTTTGTTTATTGTTCTGGATAGAGTAGATATGCTTCCCTTTTTATGTATATCAATCTTTTTTGTAATAAGAGAAATTTGAAGTCCTTGTAGATAAGAAATTAATTTCTGCTACCACGTATAATGAAACACTAAGTCATTGAATGAAAAATAAGTCAATAAACTTAAACAATATATTTTGACTCTGTGCTGACAAAAATGGGTATCTAAAAGAAATGTAAAAAAAAAAACAAAGACATTGTCATTACCCTCAATTTGACAAATTTAAAAAATGATATATAGGTCCCTAGAAACTAGATAGGCATTGTTGTTTACTTTCCCAGAAAAAAAAGTAGTTTTTAAATCTGCAAAGAGAAAAGTTCATTTATGAAAAGTTAATTAATTAACTTGTTTGATTTTGATGGAAAATAAACATTATATAGGATTATTGCACCTTTTTGTTTGAACACCCAGAGGGGCCAGTAGATGTTGCAGTAATGGCCATTAGTGTTTGAACAAGATGTTTTCAACACCTGCAGTAGGTTGCTACTGCTAAACAGGAAAAGGAATGAAGTGGACAGTTTTATTAGGGGCTCTTATCAAAAATCTCCCCCATAAAACAACAAACAATTTTAATCACACTGTGACCCTCTCCCTTCTTTCATCTATAGGGCCACATTTTCTCAACCATTCAGCACCAAATTAAAAATCCCCCAACTGTCATTGTTTATGTATTTTCTCTTGGTCAGACAACCTGTCTGTTTTGCATATGCTTTTCATTTTCAATTTGCATAAATTTTGTTTCATTAATTTGCACAGGTGAAGGAAGAACTTCCAAAACAAAAAGAGTGAATTAAAGCAACTGTGAAGGAGCAATTTGTTTTCAGAGTGGATTACCATTTTCAGCAGCTCTGTGTGTTTTATTGTTAAATGTGGATGTTATAAATGTGAACAAGGGAAGATCATTTTTTTTGTGTGGATTACTTGATTATGATACAAGTCACAGTGAAATGTCATGTAGAATTCACTCTATCGCCTGGATAACGCTTGTCATACTGTCCAGTCTTCAAGGTAACCTTCCTATTCTAACTGTCTTGGTACCTTTACCATGCTTTACAGCTTATATCTGCAGTTTCATAAAATTAAAATGTAGAGGATCATATTTAATTTGCAGTTTTCAAAGGAGTGAAAATCTTAAAATTTTGACCAAAAGTTCTTAATGACTGTCTTTGCATTCTTTATGTATATTAATAATTATAGACGTATTCATATTTCACGTAAGAATAAATAGAAACATGCATTGAATCACATAATAAATTCTTAATTCTTTATAAGATCTGATGAAGATATTATTCTTGAGTTTTTAAAATTTTATTCTTATTGTAGATGTTCTGGGCTTAGCATGGGTAGAGAAACCTTCTGATACAACCTCCGTTATTGGAGGAAACGCTGCCTTCACCTGTGACTACACTGGGGCTAACTTGGCAACATGGTCCGGTCCCCAGGGTGCATTGTTTGTAAACAATATGTCCATGGCTGTGGACAACCGGTTTTCCATCACAGGACTCTTCAATCTTCATATTAGTAATGTAAAGAAACAAGATCAAGGGGAGTACACATGTACTGTACAGGGACTTCCACCAGAAAAGGGATATCTTAATGTTTACAGTGAGTTTACTCGATCATTATGATATGGAAATGATTCCACTATGTCTATTGTATGATATAGTATGGGGTATGACAGGCATTTTAAAATATATTTATAAAAAGGATATTATGGTTGGTATTAAAGAAAAAAGTCCAATTCTGGTATACACAAATAAAAATTTTTGAGAGTTTGGAAGAAAAATTTGAGAGAGAGAAAAAAAGAAAAGGTTCTGAAACTATATTTAGATTTGTACATCTTTAATAATTACTACCATATTTATATACATGAAGGTAACTTTACAAATCAAAGATAACTGCATAGTCTTGAATATAGGGTTACAAAGGAGATGAAAATAATAGATACAATTGGTCACTTCTTTTCCTATGATTTTGTAATTACTCTTTGACCATTTGAACTTTGTTTCATAAACATCTCTTAAACAAGCAGACATTTTAATTTTTTTGTACTGGAAAGTTTTAGTGTCAGACAACTAGTCGTCATTTACAAAGAGTTGTCTGTCACTCTTCTCACACAATCACTCATGTATAACATCTTTGTCTGCTATATGTAAATGAATATTAAAAGTTATACATTAGATGCATTGCACATTTTATGTTATACATTATACTAATTATGATTTATAATCGATATCTCATAAACTATGTCGAGCCAAGTTGGCAGTCCCTTTTACTTTTCTTTATGTATCTAGATGATTTTTCTTGGTCCCATCGAGTTTGAGATAATGATGTTTGACTGTGTTAAAAATTAAATTTGTAATCCATTGTTATTAAGGAAATGAGGCTATTTTCAATCTGATATTGAGAGATCAAAACTTGATAGACCTTAGCATTGTTGAACAAGATTAAAATTTTATTTTCAAATAACCAACTTACAAACTTATGTTTTACTTTTCAGTTCCTCCACACAATATATCTGTCATTACAAATGACACCAGACCCTCACAGATTGAAGGAGACTTTGTTTCTCTAACGTGTTCCTCAATTGGAAACCCCCCTCCCGAAATTACATGGTTTCGAGAAGACACCCAGTTAACAGATAGTGCTACAATTCAAATTATCCAGAAACCATCTATAGGACATGGAAACATTGAGACTCTGGTCACAAGTCAGCTGATCATCAAATTACAATATACAGATCATAATAAAAACTTTTATTGTTCTGCCAAGAATGATGTCAACCTGAATAATCCTAGCAAAGTTCCTTTCCTTGTACAAGTGCAATGTAAGTACATGTTTCTGTATCTAGAGTGGTTCCTAAGTCTTACCATAATCATGAAATTAATTTTTTTTTTACATATATCATCAAAAAAGACATGTTGTTAATATGAAATACTGTTCATTGTGGAATATAATTTACCTGGAACATATCCAGGTGCATTGCTGAACTGGACAGTTTTATTATATATATTAAGAGAGAGAGAGAGAGAGAGACATAGTACCATTTACTAAAAGTTTATGCTGAAAAAATTGTTAGCTTTCCATAGAATTGAACTGAAAAACCCTCACATTTAATCAAGTTAAATGAATTTTCTTAATGTGTATCATGGAATGCTGTAGATCAAGTGATGAATTATAGGAGTAAAGTAATTTAATTCTCTTTTTGTAGATAAACCCAGAATAACTCTGGAGCCCTCTCCCCTGAACATCCTCCTAGGATCCTCCAGTCAGTTAAGGTGCATTGTCAGTGCTAATCCCCAGGTCAGCAGGGTCAGATGGCAAAAAGATACCCAGGTGTTACAGGGTAAGTGTGATTTTCATATTAATTCCATTCATTTTAGTAAATATGTACTTCAGATTTTTATTTCTTGGGAAAATGCACAGTACATTTATACAACTTTACACAAAAATCAATAAATGAATTTTATGCTGTGTATTTTTTACAAAAAAAGTATTGATTTTTCCATGTACAAAATACATGGTCTTTCTGAATTTTGATGAAAAGTAAGGATCAGGATCAACCATTTGTTTGGTTTTTTTCCCTTCTAAAATGATGAAAAGGCAAAAAATGTTAATTTGAAGAATACAGGGTAATTTCATTGCAAATTATTTTACTGTGTTTCAGATACTGATGCAGTGCTACGATTTTCTAGTGTTGAGAGAACTGCAGCAGGACAATATACATGTTCTGCTTCCAACACTATCAATGGACAGGTCCAGTCTGACAGCAAAAGTACATCTGTTAGAGTTATCTGTAAGTAACACTGTGTAAATATGTGAAGATTGAGTATATTCATGGCCTGTATTCTGGTACATTGTATATCCAAATGTGTATAAGTTTGAACAACTTTTTAATACAAAAAATACAGTTAAATTGACAAAACTGTGTAAATTTATAAAAATTATTTTTGAGAGAGTTGGCTCTCCTGGTTAGGTCATTGTTAGCTTTTTGACTTTGTACTTTTTCTGTTTCACGCATGCACATATGTTTAACTATATTTGTAATCTGTCTCTACACTGTACTTAATGTCAGTTTATGAGAATAAATTCATTGTCATTGTCATTGGTAAATAATGCCCTCTGAATTGGTTTCTTAGTAAAGACAACTTTAATCAAATACCTGTATACTACTGTTACAGATCCACCCATAATCACTGTACCAGCCACAGCAGTGGTCAATGACTCAGGGGTACTGAACCTTCACTGTGCTATAGATGCCAACCCTCCACCACTGTCTGTCAAGTGGAAGAAGCTAGATAGTTCTAGAGAATCCACTTCAGCCAATTTCACTGCCTCCCCTGTCACCAGGGACTATGAAGGAAACTACACCTGTATCGTGATGTATCGACTAGAGCCATCGGGGCAAACAGTTGAACAAAATCAGAAATTCGCCTATACCTATGTTTATGTCCAGTGTTAGTATTCTTTTAATATCAGCTTGTCTTCCCAATATTATCAGGCCCATTATTGTCGTTCTAATAGAAATCAGAAACTGTAGGATGTATGATATTTTATATTTAACTTTTATTTCAAGATGCTCCTGGATATTCCTCAATCAAAGCTGTCTCAAGTTCTGTGAACATAGGGGAGACCATTTCTCTCACCTGTTCTGTCTCGGAACCAGGTTTGTGATAGAAATATATACATAAAGAAGAAGAAAGATAACTCTTATTGTGGTCAACACTCTAAATGGGTAAATTGTTGCATTTGATAAATCATCATTTCAGGATATCCAATTCCCAAGTATGAATGGAGAAAGATAGATACCAATCAAGTTTTATCAAGCCAAGGATCCACACTGACCATTCAGTCTGCTAGACTTGCTGACAATGGACAGTATGCTTGTACTCCCTATAATGTAATGGGAAGAGGAGGCACAGCCACAATCATAGTTGAAGTACTAGGTAGGAATTAGGCACTAACACATAACTTCATGACATTTCAAATGCATCAAGTATTTAATTTGTAAATCAATTTAAATTCAGTTTATTTAAGTTTACCCTACCTTGTATTGTTAAATAGACTAGTCTACTTGCTGAACAAGGTCATGAGCAACTTCACACTCAAGTGCAAAGTATTTTTAATATAACACACACAATTGTAATTATGATGCATGTAAAGTTGAAGATAACTTGGATTAACTTTTTGTCATTATTCCAGAGTCACCTAGATTTGTGGAGTTTCCACCAACTAGTGCAAGCATCACTTCTAACCAATCCATGTATTCCGTCGTATGTAAGGTGCGAGGCCTTCCTAAGCCAAGGTTGGAATGGCTGAAAAATGGTCAGGTCATCCAGAGCGGACCACTGTACAACATAACTGAAGAGATCACCTCTATAGAAACCTACAGTAAACTAGTCAGCTCCAGACTTTATTTTGCTGGTATGATCTTTACATTTCAAGAGAAAATCACAATTAAAGGGGAATAACTCTAGAATTTTTTCTGAAGTTATTAGAAGTATAAATATAAGAGAAATGAATGAGTTCTATAGACTTCGGTTTTATTACATATTTTCAAAAATATGAACTGGTACTACACTTACAGTGAAGAAACTATGAGTACAACAATAGTTAATTTTCTTGTATGGCAGGTACTGGGCGACAAGGTTTGATGATTGAAGATATTGCTAATTTTACTTGCCGGGAAGTATCGGGAGGTGAACAACATAATTTAGAGCTTTACATCATGTGTAAGTAAAGGGCAGAAAACGGTAAACCAACTAATATTCACGACAGCTTTTATTCACGATTTGTCAAGTTGAAATCTGTCCATGGCGATCAATTTTTGTATCTGAGGAAATTTTCTACATATGTACTCAGTGAAATAAACAGTTTGCAGTAAGAAAATGTTCGTGAGTAAAAGAAGGTCGCGGATATTTCTCACAGAAGTTGGTTTACAGTAGTAGCATTCAGCTGTACTTTGCTACTTGAGGGTGTAATTAGGGTCCTGGGGTCCGTTTTTACAAAAGAACTTACGACTAAGACCAAAATTTAATTCTGCTAGTAACTTTTCAATTTACATTAAATGAAAATTGTTTTAATCTTTTTAAAAAGGTATGTAGAAAGACACTTTAATGCTAGCAATTTTAAACAGAATCACTAATTTTGCAAAATTTTACAATCAACTGAAGTTTCTGGTCTTTTGTAAAATGGACCCTGCATTAATATAAACTTGAAAATATTTTAGGGATTTATCAGATGTGGACTGTGGTTTAACTTCTATAATTTTGACGTAAGACAGATGATAAATGATATTCAAAAACAATTTAAGCACCTTGATATATTTTCAATTCATAATACTTTTGCTCAGGATAATTTTATTTCCTTCAATTTTGCAGTTAAACCTTCAATAGATGCTGTTGAGAAGGTAGCCACCACGGTTAATCATTCCACTACCATGACCTGTACTGGTAAAGGTTATCCTGTGCCTTCATTTGAATGGTTCAGAGACAATAAAATCATCCAATCAGAATCCCGGTTTACAGTGGAACCAACCATACAGCTGAGTGCCACTGAGGCTAGCAGCTCATTGTCCATCAGGGATGTGGTGGCCAGTGACTTTGGGGAATATGTGTGCATTGGTCAGAATTCTAATGGTCAAGCTCACAAAACAGTGCGTTTGACTGTGAAAAGTAAGTTAACATTTGTTAAATGCAGAAGTTAAATGTTTTAAAGTAATTTTTTAAGGATATTGTGTATCTATAAAAAAAATATTCATGATTTGAAAATTTCTAATCAAACTAAATTTTTGATGTAGATCGCCCTGAAGCTCCCTACAACCTGTCTGTGATATCCTACACCTGGGAGTCAGTCTTTCTGCGCTGGACCCCAGGGTTTGATGGTGGGGAGCCCCAGTCTTTTCACATTCATTTCACCAGTAGTGTTCCTCCCATCTACACAGGAGATATAACTGTCTCGCCTCCAGATGCCACTCAGCACAACATCACTGGTTAGTTTTCACTGCTTGATGTTTTCATTTATTGGGGACTAAAAGATTGAGAAAGAAACAATCTTATTGGGTTTTTTTTCATATATATATATATATATATATATATATATATATATATATATATACAGTGGCGCCGCATTTATCCGGATGCCATTTATCCGGACGCTTCACCATCCGGATGATATTTTTTGGGAACCGATTTTTTCCACGTTATTTGTCTCATTAATCCGGAAATTCGCGTTCCGTATCCGGACGGTCAATTTCTACTACAAAACGTAATAGTTCACTGAAAAATGACTCGGTTATCCGGATGGTAATTTTTCAAGAAACGAGTTTTTCACACTTAGCTTGCATTCGTGTTAATTGTTGTAAAAAGATTGGCCATGCAGTCAGTTTGAAGGCAGTTACCTGTGACCTACAAACAATAGCGTCTATATTTAGCCTGTGTTTACCCCAATTCAATAACACGTTTATCTTTATTATCAAGCTCAAAGAATTTAGCTTACACTGTGCATTAATCAAATAATAATCCATTCAAAATCATATTGCTAACCGTATGTACATCGGTAAATTCATGAGAATTTTGTTTGTAAATAAAATGAAAATATAAATAACGAGCGATTTCGTAATGCTCTTTATCCTGACGATTGCATTATTTTGTATTTGAAACGCTTTTTCCCCCACAAGACAGTTTAGAAAGGTACATAATTGAAGAAATATCTCTATTTAATGTACTACCGTTTACATATGTTCATTACTTAGAAAAGATACATCAAACTGGCGTTACGTACAGAAGTTGATTACGTTTTTCAAGGTATTTTTAATGATCGGAATTCACGAATTTTTTTAATACTTTGTTTGAGCCAGCTTGCAGTTAATTTCATAGTAACCCTGTGTAAAGAATATACGGGGAATATATGGGGTTAGTTTATATTTGAACATTTTTAATGATGATGCTGAAGAGTTCTGTCATAGCATATGAGCTTCAAGAATTATAATATATGGCTAAATAAAAGAACTGTAGATCAAAATTTGCTCAGCCCATGAAGCCAAAGAGAAGGCGAATTAAAAAAGGAGGTCTCAGCATAAAATTGCCCATCCATTTTATTTTTATTGCGTAAATTACATTTTAATATATTTTTTCTTTAATCAATTACTGTTTTTAAAACAATAAACCAAAATATAATTTAAAAGTTTTTTCTTTGCTGTCACATTTGAAACAAGAATGTGCATATATACATGCATAGAGAGTGCTTTTTGAGATGTGATTCAATTATCCGGACGATTCATTTATCCGGACGATTTCGTTGGGGACAGAGGTGTCCGGCGCCACTGTATATATATATATATATATATATATATATATATATATATATATATATATATATATATATATATATATCAAAAAAAATCACAACACCGAAATAAACTCTACCGGTTTCATTTTCAATCTTCAAAAACTCCTGAAGATTGAAAATGAAACCGGTAGAGTTTATTTCGGTGTTGTGATTTTTTTTGATATACGACTACGTGTGTGGATTTATTTTATATATATATATATATATATATATATATATATATATATATATATATATATATATATATATATATATATATATATATATATATATATATATATATATATATATACATATATTTTTTTTATTTTTAGATTTGCTGCCTGGAGTAGCATACCAGTTTTATGTGTATGGCAAGAATTCTCTTGGAAAGGGAAACAACTCTCAGAAAATAATTATCAAGACCAAAGGTAACTCAAGAGTTATCATTCTTTGATCATGATTTTTTTAAATTGGCTATATTATACATGTATATATATTTAACACATTTTCTCCCATCATAAGAATGTTCTTTTCTTTTCCAGATTTTGCATTTCCATTAGTTAATAACATACCAGACTACTCAGCTGAAAACAAAAGATTAATGATACCATTTACTTTAAATTCCACATACTGTGTCAAAGTGAAAATAAGTGTTAACAGTGGGAGCACCTGGCAGACCATTCCCATGAGTGGGAGGGAGTGCTTCCCTGCCACAGAGGATACTAGAGAACTGAGTCTGCAGAGTGATAGCATCAATCGCCTCAATGTTTCAATCTGTCTGTCTGTCAGACCGGACATCTGTGGGGTTCATCTGGCCGCACTAATAAGTAAGTAGATAGATTTTGATTTATAAGACAGTATTAAGATGTTAGAATGTTGATCGAATTGGGGAGAGATGCCTTTTTCTATTTTAAATGCCATGATATATTCACTTTTACCACAACCTGGAATTGATTATAATTAACAAAATTCAGTAAAAGTGTTCAGAGTGAATTGGATCCTTTGGACAAGATTGAATATGGGCATACATTTTCTGTTTGTTGTGTATATATATGGAGTCAAATCATTATGAAACCCCCACACGTGTGTAGTTGTAATACATATATGCACATGTATTCAGTATATAAAGATTTGCAGTCTTTATTTCGTTGCTTTGTAAATTTTAGGTGACTACCCAAAATATGGTTTCCAAAGTAAGTGTCCTTTGTGTGAATATCTATGCAGACTGTAAATACATGTATCTTTGTTTTTATCCAAGTCAATTGAACTCATAATCAGAAACTAGCTTTTTGTGTATTGTACACTTAACGTAGGTAATCAAAAAACTGAAACTGTAGAAAATCACTATAGTCTTTTTTTCCACTTGCATTGATATTCTTCTCAGCTTGCTAACAAAGTGTGGGATTTTAATATATTCTTGTACCATGCATTTTAATGTGTGTGGTGTGAATTTCTCTTTTAAAGCATCTGCATATATGCATTACACTTTATTAGCATTGCTGGTACACTTGAACCACATTCTTAAATTTCTTTATTGGAAACATTTTATTTCACTGTTCAAAGAAAATTATCAAAAGAAAAATTTATGTTACATATTTCTTTTATACCAGTTAAATTACCCTCAAATCTATATAGAGTGATGTATACAAATGTATAATTGTTTTCAATTGCCGTGTGGAAATTGTCCAATTGAATGTAATATACATGTACCAGGCTTTGAGTAATTTAAACCAATTCTCAAAATATCAGTAACATGTTCTTTAAAACTTTTGAACTGAAATTTATGTCAAATATAATAAGTGCAATTATTTCTTTGCATTAACTTTGTCAGTGTTTGTATTAAAAAAAATGCCTACAGTAAATACTTTAAATGATTGATGTTGCTATGAATATAAGGCAAAAAAGAAACTCTTGACAAAAAAATAGTTGGTATTTGGGGGAAAAATGCATTTAATTGAATTACACCGTATGGTTCCCTTTGATTTGCAATAAACTGATCTGGTTAGCAACTAAACGTGTCAGTTGGACTATTCTATTATTAAAGAAAGGGGTGCGAAGACTCTACCTGGGCATAAACAACTTGATCACCTGGATGTTTTGATCGACATAATGACAACTTGGGGCCACACACAGGATATGTAAATTAGCAAAGGCTTTATTATTATTTCATTATGAAACACATGCTTTTCCTGATATGTAAAATTACTCTTATAAAATGTAAACAATAGAACGAGTAATTTTGAATAGCCTATATTTGCCCGATTTTTATTTGTCAAAAAAATACCCCCATATGACACGCACTCGTTTGATTTCAAGCTCATTCGCGAAGCAAGCCTTTACCTGACAAAAATGGTATGAGAAAATGGCTTCCTCGTGAAAATCAGTCTTCATTGTGAACATTTACGATCTCTCTAGGATCTTATTAGCTTGATCTTTAGCGAGAGTTTATGTTTACACCTGTACCAGAAAATATTTCCATACGCTTCTGGAGTTCTGTGTAAGCGAACTGAGGAAGGCAGTCGTTAGAAGTTAATGCTATCACATTTTGTAATCACTCGGCAGGATTGTTAGTAAATGGACAAGCTTTTACCCTGGGGGCTGATTGTCTACGATCGACCTAACCATCCCAAACAATTCTGAGGAAAAAGAGACTCTACCTCACGGTCGTTTGGGAATTTTGATGGGGTTTTATGCCCCAGTTCCTGGTGCAGTACTGATGATATGCTGTTTTTGATGCCGTTTATTAATTAAGGACTAATTCTCGGGAGGAAAATTACAGTATTCAGCGCATGATATTAAAGTTATTGTGATCAAAAAGTCATGTGGCATACTGAAAATTTGACATAGAGAATATTTGCGTTTTGTTGTGCCTTCCTCAGATATTTGCTGAAATGTCTGGTAAGCTTTTCTTCCCATGATTTTGTGATTATTTTATTTTTTCCAATTAATAAACAGTTTAGACAATGGTTTCTTCTGGACATTTTTTAGCTTTTGTAACTTATCAATGTCAGACTGTTTGTATACATGTATATATATGAATCATCAGTGGGCTTTGCAGACTTTAGGGGTCATAGTGTAAAGTCCTTTTTTCACAGCATTCCTTTGCTGATCCTTAATTAATACAGTAAGGATTATCCTATGCAATCAGATTAACTATAGATCTAGCTTCCAAAGGAAAGAAAGAAGTAGACTCGACAGTCCCCATTTAATTTACCTGAAAAAATGGAATTGATGTCTTCTTGTTATAAAAGAAAATAATAAATTAAATGTCCAAACTGGATTGTTAACAAAATAACAAATGAAAAAAAACTGACTAAAGTAATTGCTTTTAAGATTGGTTCTAAATAGTGTTACTACTGAAGTTTAAATTAATCATTTGAATTTTTCCACTCTGAGATCTAAGGCAATTTATAAGTAAGTCCAATCACTCAAGCAGAACAGAAGAAGATCAATTGAAAAACATTCCTGTTTAATGGAAAAACAAAATTTGGGTCAGTGATCAAGTGGAAAGGTAGGATGCCAATTCTGGCATGTTAAGAGGGCTGAAGAATTAAGCTGGGGAGATGATTGAATGGGACATAAAACTGGTCAGTTTGACATCCATAAATGCTTTAGGTTACATTTGTACACTTGTACTGTTCAAGGTTACAATTTATTTTCCTTGTAATTCTTTGTAAATACCTCGTAAGATGCATCATGTGTATTTGAGAGAAGCCTGAAGCTTGTAGATTTTATACACAATTTGGTTTTTTGGTGCTGAACCAAGTCGAGTGTTAGCTGGAATTTCTGGAGTGTTAAATAATGGATGATGGCAGACCTATCTTGTAATTCGGGGTAATAATCCATCGCTGCCAGAATGCGTTTACAGTCAGTTAAAGAAAACTCTCTTTGTTTATGTTAACTAAATGTCTTTGTGAAGTGTCCTTTGCTAGGCAACATGGGAAGGAGAGCAGCTTATTTTACCATCATGAGTTGTGTAATTTTGCAGAGAGTCAATGATAATGGAATTCTGTGAACTTTAAAAATAACACAGTATTATTTTCAGTTAAAAGATGACAACCCTTCACAATATGTCTCACTTTTAATATAGAAGGTTTCACTTGAACAAAACATTTAGACAGGTGCATGAAGTCAGTGACACCTTTTACATACATGTATTTACATAGCACACTTGACAAACCTGGGTAAAGCTTTTTATTGATGGGTGTCCCTTGTATTCATGATACATAAAGGTGGTCAATATTCTGTAGGATATCAGGTGCCAAGCTTATTCATGTTATTTACACTTGAGGTCTCTTGGAAAAAAAAGCTACCTAAGTGGTCAGTGTAAGACAATGTTGACATAAAGGCTGCCTGTTTGTAAAGGTCTCTAGTAATGTAAAAGTAAGGCACCAAGGTCGACAGAGGATGGCAGATTTCCAACAAGACTCCATCTCACAGCACTTCCCTGCTGGTGGTATACACATATATTAGGCTGAATTAAACTAAACATGTGAAAGTGTGTGCATTCAATTGAGCCTCCCTAGCACTGGAGTTTGTTAGGGAATGAGAGAGAGGGATGGCAGAGGGGTTTGCTGGGGTCAGCGTATAAATGTAAAACCAAACAGATATCAAGTTTGTTACATGCTTTCGAGTAAATGACACAGCAACTTGGGTCGTTTGTGGTTTGACCCACATAACAAAGAAATAAATAAGTTTTTAAAGCAAGATGTTTACCTGGTGCACATAGGAAGAAATGACTCATCATAGGATCTAGGTACCTTCCGTTTACCTTGGCTATGTATTTATAAGTATTAATTACACATTAAATTGTAAACCTATTCATCATTATCAGGTTCCTAGAAATCAAGCTGGCTATCTCTCATGTGTCGTAAATCATGGTAACTTGTAGAAGGGTTCTATAAATAATTAATTTTATCCTCCTAATATCCCCTGTTTTGAGCCCCGTTTGCTGCTCAACACATGGACTGAGGTTTTTCTCTTTGGTATCCTTTGTTCACAAATTGTTATTTTACAAGATGTCTTACAGAACAGAAAATGGAGTTAATTTAGAAAGTAAGTCTTGCTTAATAGCACACTTATTTAAGTGTATTGTTTACTAAGTTTTACAATCTAAATATTGTTCTTTAAAAAGTGTCAAGGCATCATCATGATCATGCATGATTACATGGTTATTCATTCCATCAACAAACAGTGAATAGTCAAATGTTTGTCGGGGAATTGATGTTTCATTGATTTCAGACAGCTTGCATTTACTTTTGCTATAAATATGGACATAGCATATTTGTTCTAAAGATTTACTGCAAGAGAAGCTGTTACTATATAAGATATCATGCTTTTTTTATGTACAATTGTCTTTGTATATCAACTAATGTTCTCTGTTCTATGCAAAAAAAAAAAAAAATACTTCAGTTTACATATTCAATATGATATCAAATATGTAATAAAGAAAATATCTGGCTCACATTGTATAATGTGTGTTCAGACATCATGAATTATTGCAGGTCATATTGCTTAGCAGTCAAAGATTTCTCCATTTTCATTGTGAACTTGTGCAAGAAATAATTTCACTGATAACATCCTCAATGTCATTGTCAGACGGAAAGTTGTGTTCATCTAGTTTACTTTCCCAGGCCAAGATGATGGGACTATGACATGTTTTATTATGTAAAATGATGATTATTAAGTCATTTTACACCAGGCAATTCTGAGAGTGTTCATATATTTATATGATAATTTCTGTGTCACTGTCCAATGAAGCGTATGAAGTGTGGGAATGGGGAAAAGAAGGCCTCATAAAATCTTCTATAACGTTTTCAGAGTAGATTCAGTCAGTGTATTTTTTGTGTTTGGGGCTAAAGATAAAATTACCATAATGCTAGGCACATTGTCTAGGACTATAGAATCAATGATGTATTGACAGAATGAGGCAGGAACGATATGATTTAAAAGAAATCTGTCCCATAACCTGTCTGTATAGAACCATTATGAAAGTGTCACTGTGTACTCTGCTAGTGGGTTTTGTTTACATTGCTGTCATATTAATTGAATCTTGTGAAAAACCATTAATGCATACAAGTATATGCAATTCATCTTCATTGCCAAATGTAAATAAAGGATCGAAAAGAGCATACCTCTTTAGAACAAACAAAATTATTTTTGAAAATTTAAGACTATCTCTGAATGATAATGCTATTTCAGCAAATTTTTTTTAGCGAAAAATATGTCTTAAAGCTCCTTTTATATTCTTGCCCATTTCTAATACACATGTTTAGGCAACATTTGAGACAGTAATGTTCGTTAAGATGGGCATTGGGTTTAAAGAAAATTTTAACATTTCAAGATGTTGAACGTGAGAGCCAGAGAACATTGACCAAATACTCTAAAATGTTTACCTTTTTTTTTAGGACAAGCTGATAAAACTGATCTATCAGAGACAGAGGTGATCATCATTGGAGTCATCTGCGCTGTCATCTTACTTAGTCTTATCATCGTTCTCATTGTCATCATCTGTCGCCGTAGAACAAATGGTAAGGGAGGAGTAATTGATCTTTATCTAGATAAATGTTTTATTTTTCCTCTGCATTTCAATAATGCTTTCAGCTTAAGAAGTCATTTATCTGTCGTACTCCTCTGTCTTGTTTAAACCATTCATGTAAAGACATTCTGGCTTTGTGTTGTTGTATAATAGACATTTTCTCATACTGCTTATATACTGCAGTGTAATTGTTTTGCATAAATTTTTGGTATATTTTAACAATTATTCATAGACATGCAATGCTTTAAACAAAATCTTTAATTTTTATTTCTTTTTTTTTTTTCTACAGCAAAACACTATGGCAACCCATCCACTTCAGTAAGGTAAGCTTCCTTGAATTACAACTATCAAATGTAAATTCAGTTAGCTGTTTCCTACAGAGAAACAGGTAAACTCCATTTGACATTGAAAAAAGTATCAAAATGAGACTTTAAGGGTGTAACCTTTGCGTATTGTTTCCTTGTCAATAGACATCATGCAATACTGACTTTCCAAAAAATGACCTTGTGTGCCAGATATAGAATTCCTACAGTAACAAGTACTGTTTTTCCCTGTTTTTAGGTGTATTTTGCTTTTATCTTTTTAGTCGGCCAGTGACCACTACTCTCCAAACCAATGGAAATTCACTGGGCCCGCCCAAACCTCAACGCGGGCAGGACAATCAAGGTATAGATTTCCTCTTTCTCGATGGCTTGGGTGTTTCTGGTAGTCGTGGTGTTAGTCACTATAGTAACCATGCATATTGTGAGTACCACTAATTCCATTTGGTTCATGTCATTAGCAGGATTGGTGGTTTATAAAAGCTCATAAATATTTTTCATACTTATAGTATAGATCTGAAATTGTATTTTTTTATTTATGTATCAGGTAATGCAGTCATTCTTTTCTAATATTGTAAATATACTTTTTCTCCACGGGGTCATAATTTCATGGAATTACAATTTCTGTTCAATCCATGAATGGAAAATAATGCCGATTTCTTGGATTATCATAATATTCCTTAATGCATTTAAAAACACTGTGACAAATTTCTGCAGAAAAGTTGTGACCACATACATAGCAAAAATTAATCCTACACAGAAAAAAGTACGTCTTCAGTTTTCTCATTGTCAATCCTGCTGATGATGGACCAGCACGTATAGCATGTTTGTTAACATTTCATGTCTGAAAGTAATATCTGTATAGTATATAGCTGTAGTCATTGATATCACCAGTAAAAAATAAAATATTCCAATATCATGGCACTGACTGAAAAAGTATAATATACCAACATAACAACATTGCCTAACCCTGAACTAAATGCAGCCATTTGTCTTGAAATTCAGTTTAAAATACCATGGTAGCTTCATTTTTAGAAGCCATTTTTAGAGTAGTCATGAATGTACAAAATGCAGACAATTGTTCTGAAATTCAGTTTAAAACAACTTATTTTTCAAAGATGGAAGCCATATGTGGTGGATTTTTTTTTTCATCTTTGTGAGTGGAAAGAAATTTTTGCATAATGATGTAATTGGCTACCAGGAGAAATTGCTACAAATAATACAGCACCCATATGTTTAGTATATATTCATGTAATTTAATGTCTGCACAGCATGGTTTACATCACTTTCATTAGTGTAGGAAAATTAATTCTGTATGCCTGCTTGCTCTATTTGCTAGATTGGAATTTTTTTTTCTCTTTTACACATTTGTTTGAAACACAGTTGTAAATTTGACATGTTTGAGAATGAAAAGAAAATAAGAATTTTCAATTTATCAATTTAAATTCATTGGTACTATATATATATGCATGTTGGCATATATTTCACTTGATTTTGGTTTGATGCACGTCTTTGAACTTTCATTTGACCCCATGTTGCAGGTTCACTGGGAAATGGTTTTGATCCACCACCACAATACCAAAGTGTCGTTAAAAATGGGAGCATCCCTCTAGATACTTCATATGATTCTCAATTAGCAAAATACGAAAATGAAATGAACATGCGAAATATGCATAGTAAGTATCAAGAAAAAACTCTATGCTTATTACTGGGCTGTGGTCAGGCTTTCAGATACATGATAGGATTAGGTGTTTTTTCATAGGGAAGTGATCTTTTATATTGTGGCGTTTAAATGTTACCCCCAGAAAACCCCCTTTCCACATCATTCATCATTATTTGTGTTGTTTTTTTGGTATGTTTTGATGTAGAAATTTGTTTAACTGGGAGATACAAACTCACAGATACTGAGTAGTTAGGTAGAATATAGTGAAGAAATATAGATAGGTATCATCAATTCATTCAGTGTATATTTCATTGTAGAATTCATTCTGTTGTGTTGTAACTTTGGTAGTTTTTACATAGTACAGCGTGTATTTAATTAACTGATTTGATTTGTAATTTCTGCTTCCAATTTATGTGTAAAAAATTATTGATTCATGTTCTTTCACATATAAAATTTACTATCTTAAATTTTTAGATTTGAAGAATGAAGCTTACTTTGGAGTTCAAAATGGTAAGTATTTTAAGATAATGGACTTATAATATCTGGCCAAATTTGCCTGCCCACTAATGTACTAAGGTAACAAATGCAAAAATTCATAGTATTTTCACTAATGGATTAGATGAGAATTTTTAAAATAGATATTTTAGCTTTCTGCAAATTAGCCTGATATTCCATGTTTTCTTGACATCAATTTCCTGTGGTATAATCAGCTTTAAAAAAAAAAAGGAGGGGAGAATCCTGCCAAGTTAAAGTTTAAAATAGCTTGTTATGTTGTCAGGCAGAAAAAAATCGGTTAAACGATGATTATTAAGGCAGACAATTTTTTTTGTATATATATATATATGTGTGTAGAGAAAGAAGGGGGGGGGGGGGGTAATTGAAAAAAGCTTGTTTATCCTGATAATGCTGTCATTTATGAAATGGTAATATATGTACTAAATTTCAAAGATTCATGCAAATGTGCATAAAAAAATTAGTCTGTCAGTCAGCAGAGTAGAGCAATAGAGGTGACTTGCTAGTTCCTTTTGGTGTGGAGTTGTATTTTGGGAAGGGGGGAAAGTGTTTTCAATACAGCTGACTAAGCTAAGTCCCTCTTAATTTTTTTTTATCTGCTCTAGGTTCTCCATCAACGCCAAGAAAAGACCCTCACCATTTCTTGGAAGCACCAGACGACAGAAAAGATGTTTCTAAAGGTGGTCAGGAAAGTGGGTACTCCACCCCTGAAGGACATGTGAAGCCAAAAAAGGTCATTTATGAAGTTGTTGTTTGATGTGTACTCCTGTTTCACATTACCTACTTCTTCAATTAAAAAGATCAACCAATCAAGACTGGAGGATGTCATGTGATTTTAAAAGGAAGCTCTGCAGCTTGACATGTCCAGGTCAGTCAAATATGACCTTGACCTCATTCTAGTCAGATGACATGGCAACTCTGGATTGGTGGCCTTTTATGACTTTGACCTTATCTATGTTGTGAACCCACTGTGCTTCCAGTTCTTGGGATGTAAACCATTGCCATGTGAACCATCAATGGTGTTGTCTGTTAGAGGTCTGGGAAATAATTATGGTGACCTTCCAACTTTTCAAAGATGGTGCTTTTTTCCCTTCTGACACTATGGATGTATCCTGCATGTATAAACAGACCTATACAATATAACCCAGTGCAATCATAAGATATGTCCAAGTGATACATATTGCTGTATGATCTCGCTTTAAGGAAATCTTGTTTGTGTGTATATACAGGAAAAAAATTGTGTATTATTTCACATAACTAAAGGAGAAGTGTGCATTAAAGCACAGAATCTTTGGTACAAAAAGAAAACAAAAGCAAGAAAAAAATGGTGCTTCACAAACATAAACTGTGTACATCATTGTACCATAACTATATTCAGTATGGAAGTGCAGTATTGCATGATCATTGACATATATTTCATACTGCATTATTGTCATGGCAACTAGGGATGATTGATAGCTCAAACTGAGTTTGAATGAATGAGAATTGTAATAAAAGGCAGAATACTTGAAGCAGATGAACTTTGAAAACAATACCTATTTTTTATACTAACATATTTTCAAATACTCAAAAGTTGCTTAACCTTGCCATAGTTCAATATGATTAAATGTTGCTTGAATTATAAAATTGAGACAAGTATTTTATCTAGATGTGTTTTAAAGGGATTTAACAAATTTATGAAAATTCTACATGTTCTAATTAATTCTGTTCAACAAAGTCTTGTTACACAATTTTTTTTTTTTGATTGCTTGGTATACTGCTACATGTATTCTAGGAAAATGTGGATAGTTTTGCAGATGCATGTGTTTTAGAGAGAGAGAGAATGAGAGAATTGCCCAGAAAAAGAGATTGTAATGGAAGACTAGTGCCAAGAGAGAGAGTGAGAGAGAGAATGTAGTGGAAGAGAAGTGCCCACTGAAATAGAGTCAAACTCACACATTATAGATAACCAAGTCTTGTTTATTTTCAAATACCAAGTTCATTTTCAAATACATTTGGCTCCTGACTGGAGGAAGAAAAAAAATTGATGTACAGACAAAGATATTACCAAAGATAGTTTCCTTTAGTAAATTGATTTAAAGCTATGAACAGCACTGCCATATTTCAGAGCATATGTATGAATTCCATTGATAGCACTTGTGAAGAAAAAAGGAATATCCCTTTGTCTTATATATATTGCATGACTGTTTGTATTTTCAAAATGTTCTATAAACTTTTAGTATTTCAACTTTTTTTATTATGAACTTTTCATATTCATTTCATTTTTAGAATTCATTCATCATTATTATATTTTTAGAAGTTGTGCAAGAAAGTTGTATTTATATTAATTAAAAGTATAAATTAAAAATAATGGTTTTAGTTTTTTCCATTCAGTGTCCTAATACATGAACACACTGAACAGATTAGGACAGTTCAAGCTGATTTCATTTTTGCTATAAGAAAGCTTCTTCTAAAATTACAGTTGTTAAATAAAGGTCGACTTTTGAAAAAGATTTGTGATTAAAAAAGGGGGAAACAAGTTGCTTTGCATTTAATTGTCCTGCCCTCAGGCTAAATGCAAATTCAAGGGGCAACCTGAAAGTGCTAATTAATGCAAAGTGAAAATAAAATAGCCCAGATTTTATTGGATTTTTTTCGGTGACATTTTGCTATTCAGAATTGTTGTCCTGCTTTTCACTTATGGACATATAAGCAGGCAAATCGTTTGCATGATTATAATGAGCACCTGGCCCAATAAAAAAGTTGAAAATTCATGTCCCCCAGTATCAGGCCCAGGGGGAGGCTAAGTCGATCACATATTGAAATTTATTATACATTGACCTTTACTCCTAAACTTCTCGGAAAAAAGATATGATAATGATTATAGAGTCTTCAGCAAACTAAAAAAAAATCCAGACCAGTTACAGTTGGATTTAAAGTGGCCATAGCCTGAGATAATCGTGATGCTTTGTAAACTTGACATTTTTCTAATGGAATGATAGTCATTAGTCTGAGTGCAGGCCCGTAGCAACGGTTTGAAAGGGGGGGGGGGTACAATTCCAAAAATATCTGACAAGCCAAAAAAAAAGCTAATATACTGTCCAAATCCTGGAATTTGCAAGTGCTCAACCGTACAACATCAAAAGCTCACCTGAGCACCGTGGCTCGGAAAAGGCAAAAATCAGTTTGGTATTGAAAATCTTAAATGCATAAGCGGTCCCGACCTACCCCTAAAAGGGAGTGGGGGGGGGGGGTTGTATGAATTAATCAAAATTGAATCTACACCTGTTGCCAAACTAACTAAGGATGCTTACATATTTTTTTGACTAACTGACTTTTTTCCCTACAAGTTTGAACTTTCATTGTGGCCCCACCCTACCCCTGAGGGTTATTGATTTGAACAAACTTGAACTCACACTATCTGAGGATGTTTCCATATTAATATGACCAACCATGGCTTTGCTGTTCTTGTTAAGAAGATTCTTAAAGATTTTTCCTATATATTCCTATGTAAAACTTTGATCGTCCGTTGTGGCCCCACCCTACCCCTGGGGGTCATGATTTGAACAAACCTGAATCTACACCACCTGCAGATGCTTCCACATAAATATGACCAATCATGGCTTTGCTGTTCTTGAGAAGAAGATTTTTCCTATATCCTCCTATGTTTAACTTTGATCGTCCATTGTGGCCCCACCCTATACCTGGGGGTCATGGTTTGAACAAACTTGAATCTACACCACATGAGAATGCTTCCATATAAATATGACCAATCATAGCTTTGCTGTTCTTGAGAAGAAGATTTTTGAAGATTTTTCCTATATATTCCTATGTAAAACTTTGATCGTCCATTGTGGCCCCACCCTACCCCTGGGGGTCATGATTTGAACAAATTTGAATCAACACTACCTGACAATGATTCCATATGAGTTTCATCTTTCCTGGCCCATTGGTTCTTGAGAAGAAGATTTTTCAATGATGCCATTAATTTTTCGCTATTTCATAATTATCTCCCCTTGGAGGAGGGCGTGGCCCTTCATTTGATCAAACTTGAATCCCCTTTACCCAAGGATACTCTGTGCCAAGTTTGGTTGAAATTGGCCCGGTAGTGAGAAGATTTTTAAAGATTTTTCCTATATATTCCTATGTAAGAAGATGAAAATGTGAAAAGTTTACAACAACAACGACGACGACAGACAACGGACAAATTTCGATCAGAAAAGCTCACTTGAGCCTTCGGCTCAGGTGAGCTAAAAAAGGGGGGGGGGCAGCAATGAGAGTTATCTTTCTTACCAGAGGGTCGAGGAACCTCGATACATGTATCCGTCGATCAGCAGGAAGCATCGTTTTGCTCGACACACCTTCTGCACTATCATCTAAACTGAATTTACTGGGTGAAGGCAGATGCAAAATTAAGAACACTGTAAATTTCACGTGCTACGTGTAGGTGTGTACATTGTACTTGCATTCATATACCACATTCTATCAATCACGGATAGGTATAGGTAGCATACATATATTTTTAAGCTGACCCTACCACACACCGCAAAGAAACTTGATCATTGATTCTAGGCACGTTTATGAGAACAAAATTATCCATGATATTACCAAAATTTCACATTGTATCATTGGGGATAGCATTTCCTTAAGATTGTTTTCCCAACAAGAGATCTGCAAATCTTTTCAATACTAAAAAAATCATCTGAAAAATAATATTAAAATCTTTCAGCATGTATATTTTTCCAGGTAACTGTGACGTGATTTCAAAAATGAAGTTTTCTAGAAAAATTGTTATTGAATACTTTAATGCTTTATTTAAATATATTGGTTCACAAATCTGTGAAGATGTATCTTACATATTTAAGGCGATATCACTTTAGTAGCAGGTATTATGTAAATATCATTTGGATTCCCCTTCTTAGCTGCACTTATGGTTTTATATATTAGTCTTTGACCACAACGCTACGGATTCTGCAATACAAATATGGTGCAATTTACGGCACAAGATTTTTCTGCGCACAGTTGAGGAGAATTTCTCCACTTTCCAGCATTGGTCAATCAACTACCTTTCACTCCCTAATTCTATACATATTCTTTAACCAACCTGTATATTTTATCCACCTCCTTACCCTTCAGAGTCGTCTCTATAGACCAAAAAACTCGCTTGTTTTGAATTTTCTGCCATCCGACAAAAAATTCAAAACAAGCGAGTTTATTGGTATGTAGAGACTTGACTTCTAAAAAGCGTATTAAGGATATGTCTACTGTTTGCAGGCCTTAGGTCGTATCCCACTCCAATAATTTTTCTAATATATACTATACAATAGAAAACAAAGCTAATTTATGCTTATACCCCCTCAATAATATAAACGTCTGACGTGCACCCTTTTTCGCTCACCCGAGCTGAAAGCTTAAGTGAGCTTTTCTGATCACATTTTTGCCCGGTGTCCTTGACTTCTCGAGAATCACTTTGCTAATTTTGATCAAACTTGTCGCCAAGTATTTTTGAGTGTGGGGGAAGGGAGGGGGAAATTGTTCAAAAGAAGGGCCCAGCCCTCTTTCAATGGGAGATAATTAAGAAATAGTGAAAATTTGGTGCGGCCATTTAAGTCTCCCAAGAACCAATGGGTCTGAAAAGATAAATTTTATTTTCCTGATAAAGTGTAGATTCAAGTTTGTTCAAATAATGGCCCTGGGGTTAGGGTGGGGTCACAATAGGGGATTTTAGTTTTAATTAGGAACACATAGGGGAAAATGTTTTAAAATCCGCAGGATATCTTGACTTGAGTTAGGTTTTATCATGACCCTTTTGTAGCTAGGGTTGGGACAATATGGGCAAGATTTTTTTATGTGATTTAAGTTACAGGAGGGCCAAGCTGACTCAGGTTAGCGCTGTTGCCCATAGGCATCTTGATTTCTGTTTGAGTGTCCCCCCCCCCCCCCAAACTTTCTCGGATTGGGTTGTTTGTATCTATAATACGCTTAAATAAGAATTTTACGCACTTTTACTTAAGATGGATCATGTAAATGGAAAAATTTTAAGTGGTTTGGATAAATGGGTGGAAATATCTCTAAATCTTGATGGTTATACCCGAATTACATTTGTTTAAGTAAATGAAATATTGAAGAATTTGAATCATACTTATAGACTTGAAGGTTATTTGAATGCCATAAACATGATTATATACACTGATTTATGATCACTTTTTATATATGATTGAAAAACTTTTAAAAAAATTTTTTTCAACATTTTTAGGTCCGCAACCACAAACAAAAACACAAGGAACCCAAAGACTTCGAGAAGACGGTCTACTACTCTGACTTCGTTCCGTTCGCGCACGACCCACCGGGACACACGTGTGGACTGCCTTGTTGTAACAGCGACCTCTACATAAGGTTAAAGGTCAGTGGTCATCATGCTGGTTGCATGTCTATGCCATTCCAACAAACAAAGATGGAAAACGCAGAAGAAAACTTCACGCTTCGCAGAAATCAGCTTCATCTACTAAAAGGAAGACCTACTTTTAAAAATGGTGGGTTTTACTCTGTCCAGCACCATCGAAACGAACAACGAAAAGGGGTTCCATCATTTGGATCACTTCCGCGTCACAAGACTGAACAACGTCACTTTTTACAAGGTAGAGGAATAACGCTCCCACGGATTGACCTGTCACAGTCTTCCTCCGACAAAACAAAAAGACGTGATCAAACAGAAAGCGACGATAGCGAATCTAGTTCCGAGTCTAGTCTAAGTTTCCAAACACTTGGAAATATAGAAAATAGGAAGATACCACAGAAAAGATGTGGGTCTGACATGCCACAGTTGCCAAGGATCCATCCCATGGAATTACTAGAGGCGCGACGAAAGTTTGGCATAGCAGACGATAATGAGTTCGAAGATTCTTCGAGCAGTACCGACGAATCTAATTACTACAACGAAATTGTCATGGGTAATTTCAAACTTCAAGAAATAAATCCAAATGAAAAGGCAAAGTCTGATATATCAGATGAAGTGTTCCTTCCACAAAGAGAACCAACCTATTACACTCTTAACTTGGATAAAACATTTGTCTTCGACTCGAAGCGAAATACCCTTGAACGGATGACAGGTCAAGAAAAATATCCAGACTTGTCTTCATACAAATCAGATGGCCTTGACAATCAACAAATCCAATCAACAGAAGCACAAAATAGAGAACAATCTAGCAAAGGAAAAGTTGAAGTGAATCTCAATGATATTGACAGAGCAACCACAGACGGTAGTAATTCGAAAGAACAAGCATTGCCCAAGTCTTGCGAAGGGTTTGGTACAAACTATTCAAAACCAACCAAATCAGCACTAAAGTCGGCATTAAAATCTAGGTCTCTACAACATCATAGGAGAAAACGGAAAGTCACTCACGCTCTGAAGACCACGAGCCTTGATCGGCACGGCAACATTATGCATGGCATTGAGAATCATGGTTTTGTTGCCGATGGGAGATGTGTGACTGAAGGGCATAAACATGACGAGGATCGCTTTGCAAGACATGGTCATCACCTAGACACGATTGACGAATCACCGATCACTTTGATTCTTTAAATCAAGATTTCAAGAATACTTATGTTACAGATGCAAAACGTTTTTACCAGTCAAGATTTTAAGATTACTAATGCTAAAGATCCAAAACGTTTTACCACTTTCCCCATACAAGTAATTCCTACTCTACATTTTTATGCCCTCGTAATCGAAGATTCGGGGGCATATAGTTGTTGCCCTGTCCGTCCGTCTGTCTGTCTGTTTGTCCGCAAAAACTTTAACCTTGCTCATAACTTTTGTTTGGTTACAGCTATGGTTTTCATATTTCACATGTGTATTCCTTGTGACAAGACCTTTCTTTTGGGTACCATCAAATTTGACCTTTTGACCTTGGAGTTTGTACCCACTTTTGCTAAATTTTATCGGACTTTAGCCTTGGTGATAACTTTTGAACAGTTGGTGCTTTCAAACTTCATAGGTGCATTCCTTGTGACAAGACCTTCCTTCGGATACTAACAACTTTGACCGTTTGACCTTGGAGTTTGACCTACTTTGAAAAAAAAACTTTAACCTTGGCCATAAGTTTTGAACAAATAGTTCTAGGGCTTTCATACTTCACATGTGTATTTCTTGTGACAAGATCTTTTTATGGATACCAATAACTTTGATCTTTGACCTTGACCTTGGAGTTTGACTTACTTTTGAAAAACTTTAACCTTGGCCATAACATTTGAACACTTGGTTCCAGGGCTTTCATAGTGATTCATGTACATGTGTATCACTTGTGACAATACCTTCCATTTGACCTTGGTGTTTACCTTACTTTTGAAAAATTTTAACCTTCGCCATAACATTTCAACAGTTGGTGTAAGGGCTTTCGTATTTCACAAGTATATTCCTCGAGACAAGACCTTTCCTTTGGTACCAACATTTTTGATTTTTTTGACCTGGAGTTTGACTTGCATTTGAGAAACATTAACCTTCGCCATAAGCTGCCATACGGGGGCATCAGTGTTTCACAAACAATTCTTGTTTTTCTTATCATCGACGATTAAAGTACATGTCTGTTTAAAAAAATGAATTTCTCTATGTGTTGCAAAATGTTGTTTATGAATCACTGTATACTGTCTTGTTTATATACTAATATTACTGTATTAAAACACATATGCTAAAAAAAAAAATAAAAAAAAAGCATACTTAAGTTGTGTATGTAAATTGCATAAGAATATAGGAAAACGGATTAAATTGAAAAAATACTGGCCATACATGCATGTACACGCTGTGTCCGACACGTGAAATGAAAAAAAAAATACCAAGATCATTTAATTTTTGCAGAAAGAATATATTTCTGGTTTAAAAGAAGAGAGAAAAAAGTCTCTGATTTAAAATATATAGATCCGGTATTGCTGCATAAAGCTTGATTTATTTCAGCATTCTTGTTCACATTTCTCTGTCCACTTTTCTCTGTTCATCAAGCATCCCTCAACGTAAGGTTCAACACCATCTATGATCTGTGACAGTGTATTGTACAGTGGAATACAAATAAAGTTTATAAAACCGATTTGTTGTTTTGGTTGATCTTTGCTGTTTTCGCGATCCATCATTGGAATCGGAGTCAATCCTTGCTTCTTTTCTTCATCCCCTTGTTGATAAAACTCGTTATAGAGTCTATCAACTGTTTCTATCTGTGTGTCCCAGGGTTTTGCTACAGCACATAAGTCGGCAGCGGTCATCATGAGAGCTTTACAACATGCCCGAGCGGTTTTGTCATTTAAATCAAACGTTCCCTCCTCTAGACGCTTGCTTGCTTCTTTCTGATTAGGGAAATACAAGGCTAGATCTGTTGCAATGATATGATTGCGAAGAAGTTCCAACATTTCTTTATATTGAGACCCATTTAGAAACGAGAAAATATCTTGCCCATCGGTATGGAGTATAGTTATTGTCTGCTTGTAATGATGTTGTTCCATTACAGATGTGGAATATAAAGATGCCAAAGGAAGATTTAGCTTTTGAAAGAAATCATTGTTGTAGCCCCTATGATCAAGATCGTGACATATACCGCCGATTATCAGAGCCATCTTTTCGAATTTAGTAAAGATGTCTTCGTTTGCTTTTATCATTTGCCAAAGTGCATGAGCAACGTGAAATCCATGTTCCCAGTTATGATAAGTGACAGGTCGATAGTTCTTTCTGACCGTGAGAATAAACCGGCATAGTTTCTCCATTTCAAAAGTATCTTCTCCAAAGAGATCAGACGCTATGTATATGAAGAGCCGAGGAAGACTTTCTACGTGGTAATAAGCATAGAAATCTGGAGAGAAAAAGGTGTCTGGAATAGCCTCGTTTTCGATGTAAGGCTTCTGCTGAAGTGATAACACCTCTTCTTCTGCACAAACAATGTGATACTGCAAAACATCAACCGCCACTTTATAAATGGTTTGTTGTTGGTACAATAAACTATAGATTCTACTGTAGTGCAGAGCCAGAGCACAATAATCGGAAAAGAGGCTAAAATATTCCTCGTCTGCCTTTGTGAAATGGTCATGGTGAAGACAATTGACGATTTTGGTGACGCCGAAAATTTGGTCCTTATGATGAATGGGCATACAGAGAATGTGTTTGGTGTAATATCCAGACTTTTTGTCTGTTTCTTTATCAAACCTTGCGTCATCGTACGCATTGTATATGTTAATAACCTGGAATTGAGAAACAAATGATTGAGCGAAATGTTGTTTGAAAGATATTGTTGACTTGCAGATGAAACTGCAGTTAATGGAAAATTACTGTTATTGAAGCATATTTTTAACCGAAGAAGATGTTACTTCAAAGAAGCTTTTATTAAAACTGTTAAGGAAAACATGTGGTCGGAAAGCAATATATTGACTTCAATTACTAAGTAAGCTACGGCTATTTTTATAGGGAAGTTAGCAAGTATCAACACTCTAGAGTTCTCAATCTCTCTATAATAACCTTTCCTTTCTCGATAACCTCCCATGCAATTTTGTCTTCGATCTGAAGATCATGGACTTTTCTTTTCTTATACACTTCCTCTCCATCTGCGCCCTTTGTGCCAGTATCTTCGTAAGCAATATACGACTTCGACTGTTCTTCATCAATTACATACATAGAACATCGGTCTGCATCTAAAAGATCCTTGGTGAAATGAAGAATGGTTTTGGCAACTTTGTCAGCACATGTTATGTCTTTGAATAGCCCTTTGGTAATTTCCAGTAAGAATTCGTTGAGTTCATGTTGTGTGTCTAGAATTCTTTTGAGGCCGTTTTCATGTATACAAGCCGCCATCCATGAAACTACTGCATTGGTAACTTGCACATCAGCGTCAGAGAAAGGCTGTTTTAACTGATCCCTTGTAAACTCCATCACGCCAACGGTATCTGCGCTAGGGAGTACCACCGGTACACACAAAACACTGCAGTCTTTCATTCTCTTTGGACTAATTCCTTTTGGAAATCTGACAAACAACAACATTGATAGAAATAAAATCAAATAGCTTACTTACAAATATTTCCATTTCTATCTGTGTTCTCTGTGATAACTCTGTAACAATTTTCAATTGCCAATGAGTACATGACTAGTTATAATTAGTCATGTACTCATTGGCAATTGAAAATTGTTAATTAGTGAAAGACAACTCTTTGAAAGTTAGGGAAGTTGATTTCTTGATCATTCTATCGGAATGTAAATTTCGCCAAGCGAAAGGTCAGGAGCTAAGAAGGCCTAATATGCATGTAATTCTCGTTCGGCTGTCTTTGTGTCTGACGCTAAGGAGGCCTAATATGAATGTAAATCTCGTACGGCCGTCTTTGTGTTTCACGTCAGTGGGCGGGGACTATTAAAATTGACATGTGAGGCCTCGTGTAATTTAAATCTATTAGTCTACATTTTTAAAATCTAAATTTACAATTTTATTTCACAATGAAATGGAAATATAAGGAATCACTGTCTAGTTAGTAGCGTATGCCAGGGACATCAACGATAATTGGAAACGTGGGATAATTTATGCATAACGGGCATCGCCCGTTATGCAAATTATCCCACGTTTCCAACTATCTTTGATGCCCTGGCATACTCTACTAACTAGACAGTGATTCCTTAAATATACTTGTCTTATCTAAAATTTACATGCTGAACCATTTCGGTTAAAAGATTGTGCTGCCATAAAAGCATGTGTTTTTAAGGACACTAGCTATTAAAAGAAAATGATACATTGATTGGAATATTTTTGCCATTTTGGTTGTTAATTGTGTATGAAATAAATCGAATCTCTGAAATAAATATAGACTTTAACTAGACCATATTAGGAAATTAATTTCTTTTTCTGGGTACATTAATTTTTATGATATATTAGGAAATCAGAGAATACTATGGTACATGTGAGGTTAAACTGTATATAAGTTCTGTTTGGTTTTTTCTGGATACTTCTCTGCAGGATTTCTAGTGAAAACCAATAACAACGTATACAGTAATGTACACAACACATTTATAATTATTGGTAGATCTTTATAAACCAAAACTTTATGTAGCAACAAGACTTGCTTACAGCATTTGCATTGTTAATACATTAAAAATTTTACATTAAAAAAAAGTAAGTACCTTGAGTCCATTTGCAAATCTCGAACAACTATAGTCTTCTTTTCCAACACAGCATGAGCAGCTACAGTAAGATTTTTTCCCACGGGACCACAAGGTACCAATTCTCCATTCTGGTATAGAGACAACATGGTTTCATTATGTGTTGGCACGTAAAACGCAAAATCATTGGCATTTATGGCGCGTCCTAACACGTGTGTCGTCTCTACCATGCGTCGTTGTTGGTCCTTTTCGTTGTAACTGGTGGTTAAAACCTCTGCTATTTCTTTGACGCGATCCTTGAGATAAAGTGACTGTAGAGCAATGGATTGTTCACCAATGGCTGCTATGTTAGGACGATCTCGCTTCAATTGTAACAGTTCTTCCAATTTTGATTCTGGAATAGATTCCAGCACAAAGTTTTCAAAGACTTTTGGATGTTGGATTAAATAAGTTTTCACTTGAAGTTCAGACAGCGATGTTACGCCTGTATACTTCCAACGTGGTTTAATCATGTGCCCAGGAAAAGGTATTCTCTTCAGAACTGACATCTGTTCCAAGTTTGATGCCATTTTTATTGTTTTTTCTCGATTTTGTTTTGATCTACTACTCGACTCTAACGTCAGAACTACTGTGACGTCATAATGGTACTCACATATGTTCACAAAGCTCTAGCAACGCGCTGACGTGTTATTTTATAGCAAATCAATTGTACGAGATTAAGTCTGATTTAAATGTAATATATTTTTTTTTCGCTAAACAGAGAGGTTGTGATAAATTGGAGAAGTTAACAACACAGAGATCCTTCTAATCGGTTTACTAAATACTGAAATAATTGCATTTAATAAATATCAGAGTAATAAACAAAAACATACGTTTTTGAGTAACTATGAAAGTAAACATCGATCGCTGTAAAGTATGAATGAATTCGTTGATTGATAAAGGCAATTAATTGCACTCAGTTGGAATTCCCCACATCTGGGTGGTTATCTGACGTAAACGTAATCGCAAAAATGTGAATAATACTGAGGAATTAGTATATAACTACATGCAGTAAACTCTTCAGTCAGTAAATCCAAAACAGATCAATAAAATAGTAAATTTTATCATGTTTGCATTGAAATATGGTATTGTCTTACTAAACATGCGGAACACAATACAATGAGCACGTAGACTTGTACATTATGGTGAATAATTGCTCTCGGTGAGAAACTGTAATGCTTAAGGTATGTAACTTAACAAGCCGTAAGAAAAATTCACATATTTTTTCATCATTTTATGACCATTGATGGGATAAAATGTTGCATGACTGTTTGTTGTGTTGACTTCCGAGTCATCAACTAGCTACTCCCATTGAGCACTGCAATACCTTGGACTGATTCTGTCGTAAACAAATTTGAGACGATAAAAGCTTACTTAATTGGGAAAATTAAAGTGAACCTAATAATCCCGAAGTTTTACCTCTTCTCTTACATTTCATGACGTCAGCATCGCACGTAATGAACACCTGAACATCAGAGTGAGCAAGACCAAATTGCCCCCGCTACTGAATACAAAAAAACTTTGATTTATTCACAAATTGAACAATCCACGAAATGTATACCATTTTTTAATATCATGTATAATTCACCGATGCTAGTTTAATAATTTGAGAGAAAAAAATATTATTAATATAATAATATTTACTAAAAATTCTTTTTTCCCAGAATCACTACGTTTTCAAAAAAAATAAAACACACACACACACACAACAAGAGGTCTTTGGGTCACAACACTCACCTAAGTCAGCTTGGTCCTGCAGTAATCTCGATGGAGATTCGGCTCGGCTAGATATTTTGTCTGACGCCTACACCGGTGGAGGCGTCAGACCAAAAATCTACCCGAGCCGAATCTCCACCGAGATTAGGTCCTGCTGTTGTTCAGCCTCCCCCTTCTTTACTGCCATGAAAAAAAAATGTTGACACCATATTGTGGTAATAGCTTTGCCCCAAGGAGTCATGACAAACTTGAATCAACACAACATTGGGGTGTTTAACATGGCTTTGCTGTTCTAGAGAATACTTTTCAAAGAATTTTTTCCCCTTTATAAATGAATTATGTAAATTTAGCTCCAACTTAACCCTGTGGTCCATAATTTTTTAATTTTTTTTTAAAGTTGAATCCACACAACTAGGGAATGTTTGTACATTAGTATGTACATTAGCCTGCTACTCTTGAAGAGATTTCTTTAAAATATATTATATGTAAAATTTCGATTCTCTATTGTGGCCCCACCCTTCCCTTTGGGGCCATAAGAAACTTAAACTGCACTACCTAAGGCTACTTGCATATAAATATTACCAAACCTCCTGTTCTTTAAAAAAATTAAAAAGCTTTTTTTCCCTTTTTATTCTCATGTAAAATTTTAATTCCCTATTGTGGGATGGTTTGAACTAAATCAAATCTTCACTACCCAAAAATGCATGCATGTACATGTAGGGACCAGACTTTACAAAATATATTCATTTTCTTGTTGATTCAATTTATTTAATGTGCAAAAAACATTTTCCATGATGAAAATAACTGAAATAAGTCAAGAACTTTAAGTGACATCAGTAACAAACACATTTGTACAAGGAAGTCCATGACACGCTGAACAAATATGTAAAATTGATCACAACAATCTCGACTATCATACATTCCTTAACATAAAACACTGAACTTCTGACAACTATCTTTATATTCAATATTAACGTCAGTGAATTTAAAATTTAACTGACTTAAAATCAAACTGTTTTTCCTTCATTTTCAATGAACAAGTTTTCATTTAAATTTTACATGTAATAACTGCATTCTCAACTATAAACATGTAACCTTAACACTGAAAGTGGCAGTCAAAATAACCAACATGCATGAACATGTGATTCTTTTTTTTCCAAGCTCATCCAATTCACTTACATGTAATTGAAACTGCTTATACTGACTTTGCATGAATGGATTACCAAAACCTTATCTTCTTCCTCAGAGTAAAACAAAACAATGTAAGATTCACTAGTAGTAATGCATTACTGATACATCAAATTTTGTCCCTTTTAATACATTCAATATGTATACTCAACCATATATTACCTCAGCAATACATAAAATATTCCATATTGTACAAAATCTCACACAATGCAGGTATTGTTTATAACATTTACACTTTGTTTAAGTTTCATATCTGACAACTTGTTTTGTTAAGGTTTATAATAAAAATAAAATTCACCAAAACCTTTTTATATGTACATAACTGATCAAATATGAAGTGTTCTTACTTTGAGTCCATGTAATAATAAACACACAAGCTAATTGGTCATCAGAATTCTGATCTTGTAGTAAGAAATCTTGGTAAATGCAGAAAGAAAGGTTTGATGAAATACAAATTTATTTTTTGGATACAAAATATATTCAATATAGGGGCCTATTACTACAGGAAATTATGTTGGTGAGGAATGAATTTGCCATTTAGGATTATAATTCTTTTCAAATGCTTGATAATCAAATGGCGAAATGACACTGAAACCTGGGAAGCATCAAAAATATGTTAAGTTGTATATTCTTCTTGCAATTACAACCGTTTATACAAGAACAAAAGACAAAACTTGTAATAAAAAACTTGTTTAAATGATCTTATAATATACAGTAGTTACACAAAATATGACAAAAAATGTTTCTTTTCCAAAAAAAAAAAAATTTCAAAAACAAAAAAAATGCAGATCTTGTTCCTGTCATTAGGATTTTTCCCTTCTTTTAGGTACCAGTAATGTAAAAAACTTTTTTTTTAATATATGTCAAATTACATATACCGGTAATACCAGTAAATATCATCATACGGACTACTTCAAAAGAAGAAATAAATATTTTTCCTTTTCAATTTGAAAACAAAAAATGAAAAAAAAAATTAAAATTTACATTATCTTTCAAGTCATAATTTATTCAAAGTCATAATTTATTCCATAAACATTTTCTTTCTATTACATTTTCAACAGTGAAATACTGTGATTTATTAATTGAATAAAACTGATATTCTCTTACAGTGTGAAAGGATACCAAAGTGATATTCTGTCACAGTGTGAAAGGATATCACAGTAAGTAAAAAATAATTTTTGGCCTGTTATAAGATATGGTAACTAAACTGTATTGATAGAGACTAAAACTGCCAATTTCTTCCTAAATATGTTGCTAAAATCCATGTTACAATGTTTTCAATCTCACAACTGCTAAGCTATATAACGTTTCAACCGCTCAATTATGACGTCACAGCCTATGACACTGTGTTAAGAAAAGACAGAGGCAAAGGGAAAATCAAAGAAAATGTAATAAACAGAAAATTCAATGTTTTGTAGTTGGATATGGAATTATTTCACTTGTGAGGTAGGATTTTTTTTTTAATATTTTCACTCGTGCTTTGCACTCATGAAAATATCAAAAAAAATTCTGTCCCACTCGTAATAAATTCCATATCCAACTACAAAACATTGAATATCCTCTATTTAGTATAAGCTACTATTTTGATTTAGAAAACAGATAACTTGGCATAGTACAATTTATAAACTATATCATAATCTTTGCATAGTTTACAGAGCACACTAGAGAGAGGGTAACAAGTATAGACACAAATATCATGCATATTTTTACAAATTTTGTCTTATGTAATACATGGAAAACTAGGTCTTATCTTAGACATTTTTACAGATTTTTATTAGGGATGCGCTATTTTAGCAGTATACTGGTATATCATGATTTTTTATTGTGCTATACATAATGAGAGACAGAGACAAAAAAAAATACCAGTATTTATTGTGTAATTATAAAGTCTGATAATAATTAATTTTTTTGTTCAAACATTTGAATTACAATTATTAGAATTGTAAAAAAAAAATGTTGTAAACCAGTAAAACAATGGGATCATAGAATCCAAACATGCTTCATTACACGTAATATATAAATAAAAATGAAAAAAAGTGAAGCTATGTTTTCAAAATACATTTGTTTGAAAATTATGGAAATTTATTTAAACTCATAGTAAAAACTGCATGTAAAAATATCATGATATTATAGTGATATTTTTCGAGAAAAAAAACCCTACGAAATATATCGTGATAAAATATTTTTGGTGATACCCATCCCTAATTTTTAAAGTGCAAGTGTTGATGCCATTTTTTGTGCAGAATGCGTAATAAAACTGAGGCGTGCTGTTGCTAACCACGATAAAAAGAAAAAAAAAAATTATCATGCATTCTCATTTCAAAAAGAATACTGTTGATGATTCTTTTTTTTGGTAATTCCAACAAAAACATAATTATTGTGTATAGCTTGCAATAGAAATTATGGAGGAATGAGTCATAAAACACCTACAACTTCAGCACTTACACTTACCAATATTACAATACGGTGTATCAACAAAATATAAAAGACTCAGAATTCTCTTGGTGTGACAAAATAGCTTGATCAACCAAGTTAGATAACTCCTACTTCTTGTACCATTGAAACATCTGCTTAATATGAGGGACAATATTTTGAGCATAAATAAAACAAAAACACAAATACCCTACAGAGCTTCTTTGGTTTTCTCCAATGCTATCAGCAAACTGACAATCACTTCTATTCTTTTTGTGGCATTCTTATCCATAAGTGGGGATGTTTAGTTATTTGTGGCGAGTACAAATTTTGACGACGGCAAGAAATGTAACTAACAGGAAGACAACACTCCCTCATTTAAACTACTTACTCATCATCAATTAGAAAATGCCAAACAAAAACATACTTAATAATACAGAATTACTGGCCATTTAAAAAAAATGTTGACACATAAAATTTCTAGCATTAATATACACTGGTAATACCTTCAAATTCTAAAGAATGCAAGAGCGTGGAAGTTGTACAAACTAAGCACATAAAATGTGAAATTTTGTGTTAAGTGCCATACAAATGATTTTCTTCCTAAAATACAAAATAGCACTATGTATGATAAACAACAGTAAAAAAAAAGAAAACTTAAAAATGCAATATGTTTTTTTTTTTGAGGAAATCACTTTGCATATGCATACCCATGAACACAAAAGTTGTGATGCAACAGACTAGATAATGAATTCAAAAATACATGTATAATTAATTGAAACTGTATATAGCCACATACAAATCTGCTTAAAAGAAGTAATGAGCAATGTCTTCTATCAAAATTAGTCAAATTGCAGTAGTGAAATATACAAGTGAAATGGATAGTACACTGATATAATCAAAGTATAAATATAAATTTATACGATTCTTACACTGTACATTATACATTGACGTCATTACACATTGTACACTTTAATACATTTTATTTATCTATATAAAGATTCTCTTTATATTACAATAACATACAGCACATTAGATGGTTTAATAAAAACCTTAGGTTTTTTAGCACTAAAAAATATACATGTTTTTGCCTCCAAGTATACCAGCACACTCCATAATTATTCGCTTGCCAGATGCAAAGTTAATTGTCACCCTTTCACTGTTCAAATTCAATGCCCAATATTTGTGAAACTTATCACTCTCTGTGGAAAAGCACTACAAGTGATTGGCTAAAATTATGTAGACTGGTACCAGAATCTATGAAAGACATTGGTTTGGAATGATCAGCTGGACATGGATTTATTCTCTCGATACCACTCCACAAATTCATCCAATAAAACTGGCCCTGAAATTCAGAGATGCATGTACACTGGTAAGTATAATGATTCTAATTAATTGATGTATATATACAGTCGATATTAAACAGGATATAAAAGATCCAACCATTTCCACATAAAAAAATCCCATTCAAGCATGCTTCCAAGGGATAAAAAACAAGTTCTGAAAACCAAGTTAAAGGCAGAATGAAAGTAATTACATTTTCAAAAATTCTAATACTTAGTTTACTTACATGCCCCATCTTCATCGTAATTGGATAAATCTGGAAGGATAGATCTACTGAATTCCAAAATATTACACCACTGGTCTTTATTGATCACCTTGTACTTGGATTGCTGTATAAAAATAGAAAGCTGATGATATAGCCTATTCCAAGGGAAGCAACTCTTAATTATCATATCGAGATAAATAGACCAGCATGTAACCATCCCAATAAAGTCGTGTGAAAGAGAGGTAATTTACAGTACCTATTTGGAATCTGTTAACTTACTTCTATGAATTGATGAAATGAGCCAAACAGTGGCCAGTGTTTACCCAAAAGTAGACCCAGCATTGCTTTTGCTGTCTCTACATCCATGCTTCTCTGGTCTTTGTTCTGTAGGAATCAAATACTTCTTATTTAATACAAATCTCTAAAACAATGAACAATTTTTCTAAACAAAAAAACTAAAAGCACGAAGAGCCTTTACATTATTCATAAGCGGCCATGGAAGACAAGTATATTAGAGTAACATGTACATGTATTCCAATTTGAATTGAATATAATGCAAGAAATTATTTACAGGTATGTAAATGTTAACATCAATAAAACAGGTATCTAATGATAATGTTATAAAGGAAAATTTACCCTTGCAAAATCAAATGCATATCTGTAGATGTTCTTGAAATGTACAGGTTCATCAAGCATTGACCGCAAGTAATCCAGGCGGCCTTGTAACTTTGATATACAGTCACACCTTTCAACAGTAAATTTCTAATATCAATATTACATACATGTACATATGTATACATAAGAGGCAATAAAATATCACAGGAAAAACAGCTTGATAAGTAAAAGGATAAGTTTCATTCATCTACTTAAAAGGTACAAAATTTCACAAATCTGGTTTTCAGACAATTATTGCAACCAACTATACATGTATATCCCTGGAACTTTTGCTAATAGGTATAACAATTTGACATCAAAAGTCATCCATGTGGAATGATATTTACAGAAATCATTGACAATGCCGCCTTTACTTACTGGAGCTCTGTCATTCCTTTCAACCACTCAGCTTTAGTGAAAAATCCCATAGATTTAGCCTCCAGTTTCCATGCTAAACATAACATCACTATCTACAAAGTCAAAATGAAAAGAAAAGTTATTGCAAGGACGTTGCGAGAAGTTCACTGGTAAGTATTGTGTTAGAGGTATACTTTTGGTCATGAATATGCTGCTGTTTTGGGGTCATGGCAATTTCAAGGGGTTTGAAAAACATAACATTTATACAATTTTAGCTGTTTTTGGTTTCTTTCAAAATTCTTATAAAATTCTTTTATATCAGCATATCTCATCAAAGTAGGTTACACCCTTCATACATATCTGAAGTCAAATTACATCCTTTCCCCTTAAATTTTATCAGTACTTACATGTATATGTATACTTACATTTTCTGGTTCAACGCCAATATCCTCACAAAATTTTTCCATTCCTTCTGGACCCAATACATCTTCATCAGTATCTGTAGTTTATGAGAACGAACATTTTATAAGTAAAAGCTTTCCATCATGTACATGAAAACTGCAAGGAAAATTCTCAACATTTTGGTAAGTAGCATTTATAATATCAGAGAACTTCTAAACATCATTTCCCACAAGTTTTCATCTACAACATATTGTATATGTAAACTACAGATACTGTTAGCACTGAGCTCACATAACGATACCCCCCTGCTCCCATATGAGTATATTGGCAAAGTCCATGTTTTTCTATGGGAAACCTCAAATATCTGTCCAATCAGAACAAAAAATAGGTGGTGCAAAATGACACTTTGTAAGAAAAATTATGTGAAAGTCTCACTGAATTTTATTCAGTGGTTTAAGAGAAGTTGTGGATAAGAGGTGGGTACCCTCAAGTGACTGTGTTACGGATGTATGGATGAAAGACCTACGGAAGAACGGACATCCCCATCACAATATACCTCCCACTTTTCAAGTGGGGGTATAATAAAAAGTGTTAAAAACCTATCTCTAGTATAGTGATGTTGAAATTTTATTCCAAAATAAAAACTTTAATCTGTAATAATTAGAGTTTAATCTGATTTTCATTAATCAAAATTAGATATTATACAATAGAATATTTGATGATCAGTCCAAAGAATCTCTGGCATTATTACCATGTGTGCAACATAATATTGAAAGCACAATCAAAATAAAACAAATCAAAAAAAATGACTGGATGCTCTGAATAAATAGGATTATAAATATACCTGTATATTCATGGAACCAAGCTATGCATCGCTTTGAACTGAAATCATTTTCTAGTTCATTACGTCTTGACCTGAAAATGATAGTTAAAAAAAATGAAGTATACATATTTGTACTCATCACTTTCTCCATCAAAAATTTCCTATAGGGAAATTGCTCTGTAAATAAAACATAGCAAAAAATTAATATACTAGTTCGGAATTAATTCACTGATACTATCATTATTATCATACTATTTTATTTTCATTAAGTTAAACAAGCATTTTTATTGTTTCATATTTGTAATGTAATGGGTTTAAATTAAGTAAAGTGAGCATCAACCATACTCAAAGGTTACCTGCAAGCTGCGTAGGATTTCAAAATTTAAAGTATCGGTTAATGGTATTGCAAATCAAGAAAAAAATTCTTAATTTCATCGCTACTGAACAAAATAATTCAGCAAAACAATGCCCTACCATGTAGAAACCTTTGCCTTTTTATTTCTTGGATCATCGGAGGTAGGTGAGCTCCGTTTTCTTCTTATTGGCATGCTGAAGTAATTTGTGCAGTTACTCCAAATTCCAGGATTAGTCAGTGAATTTCTCTCTCCAAGAGACTTTAACAAAAAATAATAATCATTTTCTTTTTAATAACACCACAAATTATGAGTTTTGGCAAATTTTTACAGTAGACTGCAATGCTAAATGATACTCTGACATTTTACCAACCTACATGTAAATCCCACCAACAGTGCAGGTCAATTTGTCTACATATATTATGTCATCTTTATCTAATTTACTAATGAGTAAGAACTTTGCATGAAATTGATATGAAAAAGGCTTAAAAAAAATTATGTAATTTTTTGCTAAAGCCTACACATATAATTCAGTGGAACATTATATTCATGAATAAAATTGACCAACAGGATCTTTGTCAGACAAAAGAAAAAATACATCCCAGTACCTGTATAAATATAAACAAACTTACCAGAGACGTGAACCTCCTATCTAAGTAAGGACCTGTCTTCTCCTCCTCCAGAGTGACAGCTACTGGACATGCATTTGATAACTCTGTAGAAGAAATCAGGAAATGGAAATGTTCATTGTTGTTCTAGAAAACTAAAACATTTGTCTCTCCTTCAAATTGTCAACTTTGTAATTTTTATCTCCTTCAAATTGTCTTCATTGTAACTGTTAAGTCCTACAGAGGTCATGATGACACACAGAATATCATATATGGTGGTACAGTAACTAATGTGTTATACATATGAAGTGTGGGCTATAGGGGTTATTGTAAACACAAATGTTCAAAAGTAAAAATTGAAGTTCATGGTGGTCATAATCTTAGGATCAGAAGTCTCTGACATACACAAGACTAGTTTATTCTGGTTTGTACATATACTTAAGGAAGAGATGTGTTTGGTACCTTGACTTCTATTTTTATTTTTTTTCAGTTCAATATTTACAGAATTGCTGTATACAGGGAAAATTTCGCCTTCATTTTATTTTCGCCCCTTTTGCCCTTGTATCAAGTGAGCGACTTTAAAATGGGGCGAATTCAAAGTAAACAGCAGATTCTTTAACAAAACTGTGCCTGGGCGAATTTAAAATGGAGTGAAAATGTTTGAAAGTGTGAAAGGGCAAAAATAACATGGCGTGAAAATAACCCTGTATACAGTATATATCTTGATGATTTTTTAACTTTACCAATTATTTATTGCAAAGCTATTCAATAAAATTGAAAAGCAAACAAAAGAATCATAATTAACCTTAATTAAGTGTACTTATGTACTAAGTTTTACTGAAATTGGTTTAAAAACTGTTGAAAAAAACAGAACAGAAATTTCTTTTTTTAGCATGAATCATGGCAACAAAGAATTACAACAGTACTACAGAATCATGTCATAGGCACTCCCAAGCTTAATTGTATGCTCTACTATAAACATTACAAGGCAAGAAACTTGCCTCAATGATGGATTCAGCTTTGGGGCACTTACCGACTACCAGTAGTAGCAAGATATTCTCGCCCAAATGGGGCTTTTCTCAGAATCTGAAGCTCTCATTTATTGAAACAAAACAATATGTTGTAATCTTGCAGAATTGCCTTCACATTGTGCTTATGGTCATAGGCACAACTAAGCACAACACAAACAATGCCAAGGGGGACAGGGTGAGGTGGTTTCACCCTCTCCTGTATGGGACAAGGGCTGGTTCAGAAAAAAAAAAATTATATGCCATGATATTATGAAAATTTGGAGCACCTTGATTTACCTTGAGAAATTTCTGGAGCATTAGAGGCGTCTCTTTTCTCTGGGCTTCTTGACTGATCTAATAAACGTGTACTTTTTTTTTACTATCTTCAGATATTAGTCCTTAACGCTCATGGATAACAGATTTATTGACATATTTTTAAAATTGTTATTTTATACATAAGTAGGAAAATGGCACAAAATGGCAAACATGTTTTTAAAATTATTTGGTATTACACTGTTAGTGTTTCAACCTAACATGCCCAACATTAGTCCAAAAAATCTGACATTTTCCAGGGGTTTTTCACGATTTTGATATTTGATGTGCCAGGAAAATGTCACAACCAGTGCCATTATGAAAAGTGGAAATTTTGCCACCCCCAACTGAACTCAATTTTCGATACTTGCAAATTGAATTAAATGTCAAACCCGCAACCTATCAACAGCAGAATGCTTCTTGTTCTCATTTATATCACTGAAAAGAAAATATCACTCCACATTTTGATACAGGTATCACAAGATTTCGAAATGCTTGAAATCAAAACTAACCTAGACAGTTTGATAAAATGTTTCACCAGACACTTTATATTATGAAGGAACAATAAAAGCGATATTGGTAGGTATTGTAATGGATTGTATTGTTGATATGATGTGAGTTAGACATTTAATTTGGTTTGCATGTATCAAAAGAATCCGGGATGTTTCGCGCCGATTCTGTTTCGCACTGAGATGGTTCGCGCCTGAATGATTCGCGCCGATTTAGGTGCGAAACATCTCACGATTTATTTTAAATATTCCATGACATTTTTATCCATTTTAAAAAATTGTTTATCAATTATAAGATGTACATATATAGATGTTGTGTGTTCAAATGCATAATAATACATGTATGCACTGCCAAAGATTACGGATCGTGTTCATCAAATGTTCCATGAGGATTTAAATGTAATTAGTTGTAGATCGAAAGGTGAGAATTTATTAATTGACGTGTTGGTAGTCAAACCAGCAATAATTACTTAATTAGATGGCGGTATTATAATTAGCATGGTGTTAAAATAATACATAATTATATGCTATGTATACTTCAAACACAGACATAAATAATTATGTCTCTGCTACAAATATAATCTTGAATTAAAAAAAATGTTTCAAAAAATATCAAAATTTACATCAATATTTACACCATATAACATGTTTAAAATCTAAAATTTTGTTAAACGAACTTCAGTTGGCTAGCACATATTTGTACAACAATGTGGGGCGAACTATCTCAGCGCGAAACGGAATGGGTGCGAAACATCGCAGCGCGAACCATGCTTAGGTGCGAAACATCCCGTTACCTATCAAAAATTGACCCGAGAATGCTACCTCAGGTTGGAGACGGCGAATTTCCACTTTTCATAATGGTGCCAGTTCTGACGTTTTCCTGGCATGTCAAATATCAAAATCGTGAAAAACGTCTGGAAAACGTCAGATATTTCGGACTAGCCCACCATATTATAAAATGCCAGGAGCTAGCTTCTTTGAAACCCTGCATTCAGACAGGTACACACGTTACCTCAATATCTTTTAAAATCGAGAAGTGCATGTCCTTCCTAAGAATGTAATAAAAGAGTTTTTATCTCTCCTTTGTTTAAATGAGAATGCTACATTATAATAATTGAATGAAAAATCTTTACATTGATATTTTTTCTGCTATCGACCAACATTGGACTGTCTGACGGTGATCATGTTATTGGCCAAACATTACGGCTTCATGAGCTTTAAAATCCAAAAACCAGGACACGTAATTGCAATATATCACTGAATTTAGGTGATTTCAGAATATGTTTTTAATTGCTTACCAAGGCAATTTTTTTTTTACGATTGTCCCTTCTGTAACTTTTGGAAGAAACCCACCGGAAATGTCGTTGGGCATGCGTCTGAGTTTGTCAACACAGACCATGATCATTTAAGAAAAACTATTTTGATTAGCTGTTTCGCTGTGGCGTCCGGCTCAACCAATCAAATCATTTGTTACATTACCCTGGTTCTTGCATTCCAGGCAAGTTTGCAAAAAAAGTGCAGACATGAAGTAATGGAATTGGCGATTTAATCAATCAGGTACTGATATTACAGATCATCATGTGTTATCAAAGATAAATTACTGTATCACTCACCATTAAAATGTGTTCAGTTTATAATCAATGCAAAAAAAATAGTGAAAAGTTACATATTTAAAGTAACCAAAGGGGTGGGGGGATAATTTTACATCTAGTGCCTTTTAAAAACATGTTAAATCATCACGTTATAGTTTTTACCTACAGCGCTGTACATAATTTCTTTTTATACACGTGAAAAATGACATGTTATTTCACAATGAGCATTCTGTATGTTAGATGGGATGTGTGTTTGCTTTAAAGATGTAACTTTAGAAATGCGAAGGACAATATTAACTAAGGGATCATGTATGCAAAGTTCTAAATGTCATACTCTTTAATTAAGTTAAAACGTTCTTCAGTTTATGATGAAAAGTCTGAAAAGTGTATCATGTATCAAAAGATAATATTTAACAGGCAATATGACAGATATATTATCTATACACACACCAGTTCTCTTCTCTATAATAGGTGAATTTTCATATTTAAAGAGAAATACAATCTATCCCATGTTTGTCATCTTCCTTGTACATTTGGCCATGTAAATTTTCAGTACATTTTCCAAATCGGTATTTATTTATTTTTACCAGAACTAAAGATGCCGACAGGTGATTCTAGGAAGGATTACATTCTTGCTACAACAGCAAACTACTTTGGACTGGGGGTTTCTGATGCAGCAATCACAGCTCTGCAGGATTCCTCTGCACTAAACAGCTTCCTTGACGATGGAAACATTGATCTTTGTGCAGGAAGAATTGAAACTAGGGGAAATGCTAAAAGACTTGCCTTCACAAATAAGGTATAATATAACATACTCATGGATTCAAAGAAGTACCTAATACATGTACCTTGTTATCTCGAACCCAAATGGGACCAAAAAAAAAGATTCCAAGGATTCAAGTTATTCATGTTATTGAAGTTAAAATACCTAGAGAAAGAGAAGCTGGGATTTCAAACTCACTTTGTATGGTATTTAAGATATCAATGTACATGTACAAAATAACAAAGTTCAGCTGTATGTTAAAATGATGACTGGGATGACATTTAATAAGTTTCCAAAATACTATGTCAATATAACCCGTTAACAATTTAACTAATGATCATAGACTCATTAGTACTAATGTATCTTTGCAGTTATTAAATTGTAATTTTTAAGAGACATTTCTCTGTGATTCATATCCTTCATTTTATATATGGAAGTGATATTTTCAGCTGTGGCATAATACTTTTTTTTTTCAGTTGGAGCCAAATGAAGATAAAGAAAAAGTCCTTGTGTTTTTCAAAATACGTCCAGATGTTATCACCCCAGATAATCTACACTCAAACACCATTGTGTCTTCAATGGTGGATTCACCCCTAAACACACTATTTCATGCTGTGCAGAAAATCTATGCACCCTTGATGTTGGAAGATGGAAAGTGGAGTCGAACGCTGGACCCAAAGTTACAGAGTTTAATCAGTGAACTTGAGGCAGGGTTAGGAAGTGCCATCAGAAAACAAGACCCCTCATTTAAAGGGAAGGGAGACAATGCTGATAACATAGGAAGTACGGAACTTCTTTTTTTTAACAATGGGGAGTTTTAGGGGGATCAGTTGATGATATTGTGATGGCCGGGTCACATGTCTTAAAATGGTCAAAAGAATGCTTTGAAAATAGCGTTAATGTTCCGTAGTTAGATAAAACAAAGTGGAAGTCACTGATCAAAATCCAATTTTTCAATAAAGGTAATCAAAGGATAAATGTAGTGTGTCCTGCTCAAACATCTAAAAACTAACACTTTATAAATTCAATACATATAGAAGTAGAATGTAATAAAATGTGTAAATTTTTAAAGGTATTCTCAGTCCGGTGGATGAATTCCAGTATTGGGGAGACATGGCAAGAAGTGATGAGAGGGCCGCTCAGTTTGTGGACCTCTTTAAGCCAATCAGTAAGGAATTTGGGGGCCTGGACACCATGGAAATGCAGGACGTCATGGAGATCGTGGAGATCGCTCAGGACACACTGGATGATGTCTGGAAATGTCTGGACTTCGAAGCATATCCTGAGCCAAGAATGAGACACCTTATGGACATTATTGGTATGGAATTTTTGCTTATTTTTCAAAGTTTTCCTTTGTTAACAACAGTTTAAAATCTGTGTATATTAATGGATATTTTTAGTTATGTGGTTGGTTAGTAACCTCAAATGTTTTATATTACATGTATGAATAATTCAGATCTTCATATACTACAATATAGTACAAATTGATTAAGATGGGTGGAAATTGGATATGAAACAGGTATATGATTATTTTAATTCATTATCATGGTTTACAGGTGGAAGTCTTGGAAGGTATGTTCAGAGAAAACTTTCAGAAGTTGACCTTTGGACTGGGAATTTTGGAAATGTCAAGGAAGACTTGAGGTCAGGTGTGGCCATCTGTGAAAGATGGGTAGGTGTGTGTGAAACCCTGACCACTCAGTTCTGGAAGAGCTTCCGTGCTCATCCTTGGAGAGGAGAGAAATTTGTCCCAGAAAATTTGAAACAGCTAGCAAATAGATTAGAAGAGGTAACTTTTTTCCCAAAACATTATGCTCATAAAGGTTTAATATTCTTTCCTTATGTTCATTTTTTAACAAAAAAAAAGTTTAAATTGATGAATTAAAGTTCAACAATTCAAGATTTTTTATTTATTATTTTCCTTAAATTACTTTGTTTATATTGTAGATACTTACCCTGAGAATAGTGCATGAGCAACAAATTCGCTTGCTGTCATCATCAGAGCAGAAGGATCTCCGTACTTCTGAGGCCTTTCATCCATTCATGGGGCTGAACCCTCTACAGTACAATCCGTACACCATGCCCTTGTGGAATGCAGCTGTGGCACAGTATGATAAGATCATGGCCCCTGTGGAGCAGAAAATAGCAGGGAAGTTAAGGTCACAGTTCAAAGGTCTTGATGGTTATCCCCAGCAGGTAGGGTGGTGCCCTTATGAGTTAGTGTTGAAAATTTTTAAGAGTTTAGTTATATGTTTTATATATCCTTAAACTTCTTTTTTTTAGTTATTGAGAGAGTTTCAAAGATATAAGGAACTGATAAAAAGACCAAGCATTAAAAAGGAGATGGTTTCTGAAAGGTCAGTTATGTGCCTAATAAATTTAAATACACTGGCTTAGAATTGGCATCATTATGTCATAACAATGCCCTCACAGATTATTGAAAGAAAGCTAACATGAACTAAAGAATTTCGTCTTGAAAATGTTTGTTTACATTTTACAGGGAAACTTTGCTAGGACAACTGAATGTGAATTTAAAGGAAACTGAGGATGATTTCCAGAAAAGAACTGGTCAAAGAGCTGGTAACAAGGGAATTCCCAAGGGGAAAAATCTCCCTGAAATTGTCAATGCCATTGTATTTGTCAGGCAGCTAGAGGCAAAGGTAATGAAAAATATATGTTTAATGTATTTCCCAGATTTTCCTCTCTCACTGTGATAAGTGTCTTCCCAATTTTATTTAATCTTTATTGTTTTCTTTGTAATTATGTGAACATGGGAGACTTTGTAAATAAATTTAAATAACTTGAAAAATAAAAGAAGTCTGGGAGATTGGTGTTATGAACTGATCTATCAATGACCTGTTTTGTGTTTCATATAATCATTGATTAGTCAAGATGTTCTGCATATAATCCCTTCACATACATGTACTTTAGACTGAGGAAACCATTAAGACAGCTGAGACCTTACTGGGAGATTTGTCTGGATTCTCTAAATTCCGTAAGGAAGCCCAGGATCTATTGGATGAACTACGACAATGGCGACAGGAGCAGTTTGATGACTGGACACGAGACATTATGGACATGATCAGTGACCCTAAAGAACCTCTTTGGTCAGTATAATGTACAGTAAAACATGCTTATAGTGAAGTGCCAGGGATAGACAATTTTGCTTTGTTATAAACATAATGTATTACTTCCGTCAAGTTAACAATATTTTTAAAAACCACAGGGAATGAAAATCACTTCACTGTAAGTGTAAATTCTTTAAAACCATATTCGCTAAATGCATGTTTCATTTATGATAAAAAATTTAGTTAAATTTTAAATGAGAAAGATGGATTACTTAGGAATTTATCAGATAGAAAAACATGAAGCATTATATAGGATAAACAATGGTGTGAAATATTTTTGTTTTGGTTTCAGTCTTGAGACAAATGGACGATTGATGGAATTGAATCATAAGACGGGAAAGCTGCAGGTGAATTATGGGGACCGCCTGGTGACTCTGATGAGAGAGGTCAGACAGCTAAGTGGAATGGGATTCGCTGTCCCAGCCAAAATCCAGCACGTCAGCAATACAGCCCAAAAGTTCTACAGGCACGGTGTTGTACTGAAGCAGGTAAACCATATACTGTAAAATCACAAGTTTTTGTGGTTCGAGGAAAAAAATATTTGTTCTAGGGAATTGAATTTCATGGTTGAAGAAGTTCTGTGTTGTTTTGCATTTGAAATTATATTTCGTGGAGGATATAGATTTGTGGATCTCCTCACACCACAAAATAATGAAATTAAATCCCAGCAAAAATTAGTGACTTTACAGAATTCACTCCTTCATATGTCTTTTCTACTTTAATTTTCCATGTGTAACTTCTGTGAAAATTGAAGACTAAAGTAACATCTTGAATATAAGTGATGTGTCTAATGCACTATTTTTACAGGTGGCCCATTTCTACAACACTTTGGACCAGCAGATGATTGAAAGCCAACAACCTATGATGTTGAATTCAGCCATCGCTTTTGAGAAACTGGTGAAAAACCCTAAAACAGGTTAGGAATTT